AATGGAACCTGCAGAAATTATAATTAAAACAAACTTTGTTTTTGCAATGAAGATTCAACACAGAGAACCACTAGTCAGTTCCTGTAATTTCCTCTCTTCCTAGGTTTAAAACCTAGCCAACTGCTTTCTCCAGTTGATTTAAGTTTATTCTCATGATGCCTTCATGTGGGGTATGTGGGGACTTACTAGGCTATGGAACAGTCTACTGAGGGCATCAGAGCAAGTTCCTTTGCTCTGAGACACTGAAAAGTGAATTGGTTAAACTTGTAGAATTCATCAAAAAGTCCCATTAATGAGGAAGAAGAACACGTTTATAGAAGTGGTTCCTTCCCTATTATCCATGGTATTATGAGTTTAAAAAGAAGGGTGTGCAGTAATTCCAGATTTTCAATAAGAAAGCTTCAAAATTTTCCTTCCTGGCTTATTTTTAAAGCCCAATGTGTTCTATTGTTACTGACTACTTCTATTGGATGTGGCCTCATATCTTCTAATTATCTCACATAAAATCTACTAAACTTCACCACTACAAGTGTTTCCTTCAAACAAACCCTTTTAAAATTGCATAATGAAACCATAACTAAATAAAACAGAAAATAAAAGAAAATGGCCTGCCCAAACCCTTAATCTTGTTGGACTAATGCATCATTTAATTACTACAGGCAGCATTCATCTGAAATGCTTGTTGTTATTTATTTATTTATTAAAATTATTATTATTATTTTTAAAGAAAGATTAAAAATTGCACAGTTTGATAGTTCATGTTGTATCTCTCCAGGGACTATACACATGCATGCACATGACAGTCCTTTTGGCAGCTGACTGAAACTATGATGTACACAAATAAAAGGTACAGGCACCTGGTCCCTTACTAAAGGAACTGCTTCACTCCCTCAGACAGCAGGAGGAAGCAGCATAGGGCAGCCTTCATATGATGATCCAGTTGCACAAATTCCATACAACAGAGTGCAAACAACTTCTGCTGTTGGCTGGCATCAGAAATGCTCCTGTACTACAAAGCGTGGAGCTGGATTCAAACATTGCCAAAGTTCACGAAGCTCCAGGTCCTGGTTTGTGATCCCAAATCCTTTCCAACTACAGTACCACATACTTGGCATTTAGCAGTTGACATGCAGGCTTACGGCAAAATACCCGCTGTTCCTAGATAAGCAATTTGTAATGACTCATGGCTCTATTCCTTCTACACCCACAACACAGTACATACAACACTTCACGTGCCAAGCATCAGCTTTTTAATTAGTTGGCATACCTTGGTCTCCAAAACACAACTCCAAACCCACTGAGAAACTAATACATCTCCATTTATCGTGTCTAGATGGCTTTACTTCACAAACTATTAAAATGGTGGGTGACACAAAGGAAAAATCAGTGGAGCAGGTGTCCATTGTCAGCAGAATCCCAGTATAAAGGAGGGGGGTTAGGGTGCAAGCTTTATTTTAGATTTTGTAGTAATGAAGAGGGGTAAGGAAATGAACAGGGATAAGGACATGCTAAATCACATGCCAGCAGGGTATTTGCATGCTATCAGCTTTTTTTTTGTGATCAGTGATGAACTCATCATATGCAAGGGTGTGCAACTCATATGCAACTCATCATAATGCAAACTCATCATAATGCAAAACTCATCATAATGCAAAAAAAAAACAAACAAACAAACATACAAACAAACAAACAAACAAACAAACCAAAAAACACTTAAATTGAGTATGTAGAATTTCAGGGATCAGCGTAAATATTCACAATCGATTCAAATTGGAGGTTTCTTTGTCATGCAGAGAATGACTGCATTGATGTGTCTGAGAATGAGCAGTAGTACCTTGCAAATTATAAACATTTCTCATTCATTTGGGGAGAAATCCTAGCTCTGGTGATTATCAGTGTAGATTTTTGCAATTGATTTGCTGCACATTCTATACATTGTTTTCTCTCTGGATTTCTTTCTGGTCTCTGTTTCTTAAATCCAGAAGTTAACTTGAAGGAAATTGCAATTATCCATAGTAAGCTTTCCAGCACTGCCTTCTCCCTAACCCAGCCAGCTTCTGTTCCCTACATTCTCGGTGATGTATGTCTGCAAGTTGCACAGTTATAGGGTGCTACGTATACGGATGTGAAATGCAAATACCATTCAGCAGTTAAACATGCTTGTAAAACAGCATGCTTGCAAAGCAAAATGTGTTTGTATGTGCAGAAATGTACAGAACAAACGTGAGACCGAACCCAGCTGAACTTTATAAATCGTCACTGGTTTCTGTAAAGCAAAAGTTTTTCAGTGTCTTTAAAGATATCATCAAGAGTTGGCACGACCGCTGCGGAAGGCTGTGTTCCATGGGATGCCGAGTACGTGCACATACTGAAGTACTTGGGAAACTGCTCGATCTTCCAGGATTTGTTTTCTTTTGAAAACCATACCCTGGGATTTAGCAAATGACTGAACTAGATCTGTATAGGCTTTTTGTCGTTGGAAATCAGCCTCGATGGGGATTTTCATGATGAAGAAAGATTTGGTCATAGTTCAGACCTTAATTCCTCAGGAGTACTTTACAGTTCATCCAGTTTTAAAGACTGAGTAATTAAAAAATATAAAGTAAGGCTTTGTACTGGTTATTCCCTAACTATGCTAATTGCATGACAAGTTTCAACTCAGATTTTGTACAAGAGCAACTTTTCTTGTTTTGTCATGTGCTAATGCAAGATTTCATGGGAAACTTTAATTTCTTGTTTTTCTCTGCAATGTTTATATATAAAACTGTGGGGTTTAGTTTGTTTGTTTTTCCTCCATTTGGGTCTTATATCCACTTCAGGCTAGAAACACACACGATAGCAAAGTTTTCACAGCCTACTCATACAGATTTTCTGCCAGCTATACAACCACCTAAAGCTGTATGTTTGGCATTTAATTTTTTCCAGAGTAATCAAAAGGGGGTATATATTTGATGAGGAAAGGGAATTACTTTACTAATTTAAGCAGTAGAAAAAATTATCATGTTCAGGTGCCTTACTCAAATGCATAAATGGACTTTTCTCATATTCCATAAAATAGACAAGAAACTACTTTTGTAAAATTTGATATTATCTTTGTGGATCGGAGTTGCAAAGAGCAAGTCTCAGACAGTAAAACTTTTCTGGGAATCCTGCCATAAAAATTGAGGAAGAACTTTATTTAAAATATTCAGAGAGCTCAGCATTGAATGTTCCACAGACAACGAATGTATAGCAGAGCTGGTTTCCTGCAGATTCAGCAAGCCAAATGCTTTCTCCTATAAGTAACTACAAGTCTGTCAAGCTTGGTGGAACTCTGCCTGTATACACTAAAAGCAATTTTTGCTCTGGATGCTTTCACCATTTTTAAAAAATAAAATGGTTCCTGCTCAGATGCAGTGTTAAAGTTTTCACTGAGCTGTCAACTATCATGAAAATTCTGTTAAAAATACCAGGTAACTGTGTTGTCTGATCTTTAGTGATGGTTCTGACTGGGATAACTTCAAAGGAAAATAAAAGGTTAATACCTCACACAGTCGAGCTCATGTTGATTTACAAAGTCATAGATAACTAGCCACTTCATAAATAAAAGAGTCATAGTACCAAGTTAATTATACTGTATTTTGGACTTTATTCTCTCAACTACCCTTTCTAGTACTCAGGTATAACAAATAATTTCAACCAGTACGTATTTATGTAAGACTCAGTTAATGTGAAAGTTCAATATGAAATCTTACTTTCATGGTCATTTTGGTCTAGTCAAAAGAAACGATTGCTTTATCAAGTGTGCCTCTTCAGTAATATTTAAATTACCAAAAATGACTGTGTTAAATGAAGCCTAAAGATTTTTCTGACTACTGTATTTTCTGAAGACAGTAACAGATATTGGAACAATCTTCTTATAAGCTTGTACCAAATAAAAACATCCTGATACACGTGAAAGCCCTAAGTTGTCACCTGAATTTCAGAAAAGATGCTCATGAAATGTGTCAATAATTTTGCATGTGCAAACAGCATATGGCCGCTCACTGATCAGTCAGCACAGTAAATTTATCAGCCAGAGCCGAGCTAGACTTGCTGTCACTGAAACAACAGGCTTCAGGATGAAGTCCAAGTAAGATTTCCAGAAGAAACAGAAATTCCACCAGTATCTAGAATTGACCTAAATTTCAGTGTCAGCAACAAACACTGCCACCTAGTGTTTCACAATTAGGCTTTGAAATTACTGCATCGTGAATGCCAGGGTAAAATGTCACTGGTGTATTTGAGTCTAATTGCGATGTTATGAGTTATGCAGCCTCCTGCTCCTTTATAAAAAATGCATTATATTAATAAAATGTTTCCGAAAATAATCTCATTTCACTGTATTCAAAATAAGGCTTGCCTCTGATTACGCTACGGTTGTCCTGGTGTATTTAGTGTGGTCCCTGTGTAACCCAGCTATAGCTGGGTTACCTGGCCTGCAGCTGTGCTGGTCCCAGCCCTGCAATAAGCAGCCCCACAGCGTTTTACCCTTTACACTTTCAGCTCAGACCCGGGAGAGTGGTGGAGTCGCCATCCCTGGAGGTCTTTAAAAGACGTTTAGATGTAGAGCTTAGGGATATGGTTTAGTGGGGACTGTTAGTGTTAGGTCAGAGGTTGGACTCGATGATCTTGAGGTCTCTTCCAACCTAGAAATTCTGTGACTCTGCAGGCAGGGCCCTGCTGAGTACCAGCTCTACGCGTTTCAGCCTCGTGCTGAAGCCATCCAGCAGAGCTCAAGGACCCATTTTTCTGAGGCGGATCAACAAGATGTGCTTGGTGACTACTTTTTAAGCTGCCTGGCAGCCCGCGCTTACGGGCGGTTTTCCACAGCCGAAAGAAAAAATATTGTAAAAAAAATAAAAAATAAAAATCCAAAGATTGTTGCAAAAGGCTTTGCTTCAGCTCTGGCTGGCGCCTGTCTCTTCCCTGCCCTCAGCACCCACCCCCATGCCCGCTGAGGGGCCGGGCCGGCGGGGCCCCGCTCTCCGCCTCCATTTCCCAGCGGCAGCGGGGCCGGAAGCGCCGTGCGCCTGACTCGGGCGGCGGGGGGCGGTGGCGGCGGCGGTGGCGATGGCGCTGGAGACGCTGTCCCCGGACTGGGAGTTCGGCCGCCGCGACGACGGCTCGCAGAGTGAGTGGCGGGAACGGCCTGAGGGGACGGGGCGGGGCGGCGGTTGGCGGGCTGAAGGCTGAGGGGAGCCGGCGGCCATCGCCGCCCTCTGCCCCAGCCGCCCCTTGTCCCCTCGTGTCCCCTCACTGCCTGGGTCCTTCCCCATTTCATCTCCTCGCTCATCATTGTTTTTTTTTTTTTTGAAGTGTTTCTCCCTATTTAGCCGGAGAAGGCAGCTCGGGATAAGTTAGCTTCTGCTGATGCAGGGTTTTTGGGGAGGTCGCTTGCTGTTTCCCCTGTAGAAAATCCCTATGTGAGCCCTCGTGATGCTTGGCGCTCTGGCAGCATCTGTCAAAAACCCACATTTCTCCCTGACCTACTTAATCAGGGGGTGTACGCGGTTGTCAGGCTGGAAGCTGTGCCAAATTAACGGTGCCAGGTGTTGCCGTGAAAATGTGTCACTCGTGGGCCCAGTGGTTGACGTACAGAGCTATCCCCAAGGATGTGGCTGCTGGTACCGCACGCGTTTCATCTGCCTCTCAGTGGAAAGTGAAGCTGCCCTGAGATGAGCTTCTTAGCAGCTCTCCGGCTGTGGAATGCCAAGTGTGGCTTTTGCACAAATTGTCAGGTGTCCCTCTTGGTCTTTATTGACGTTGAGTGCAGCCAGGAGGACCTCACGTGCCCTCATGCGCTCCATTACCACCATCTTGCCAGGGAACAGAATGCAACTCTCAAAGAAAAGCCAAAACAAAAACCACCGAAGAACTCTAATGACTTGAAAATTACTTGTTTTTCTGTCTATCTTCTCTTTATATCGCTAATCTTTAGAAATTACAGTCTTCTCAATGGAGGAAACAGGACACCGAGCAAGTCCAGTTTATTGCATCTTTGTCCTAGGTATTTATGGACACAGCACTTGCAAATCCTGCCGGGGCAATAAATGGCCTGAGTATTGACATTGCTGACTGTATGGAAGAAGATTAAATGAAGCTGGGGGAATCTGTACTGCTGAGTGAATCCTTGCATTGTTCCAGCTGTAAAGCTTTCATTTTATCACCAGACAAGAAGCTAAATCAAACTTTATTGTAACCGGATAATCCTTATGAAATAGGTCTTTTGCTTGGAAGAAAAGGAGGATCTCTCTGATTTCGTTTTCTTTCTCCATGCAATCTAGTTTGTTTAGGATTTTTTTTTGCATCTTAAAAAGTTTCCCCTGTCTCCAAGTCATGTTTTATCAGTTCAACTCTACTTACATCTGGCTAGCTAATAGTTTTCACTCTCATGTCTACTGTAGAAATATGGTGATAAACTATTCAAACCTGTGTCTTTTTTTTTTTTTTTAATGATCTGTACAAGGCAGCAAATCAATAACCATCTATTTGGCAATACTTAATATCCTGTAAGTTGAACTATAGCATTGTTTAAATGCATCATTTGGCTGTTGGAAAGGTGACAGCTTGTGGGTTTCTAGCAGAATGCTGCTGTGAGATTTTGTCTGAGGTGTGCTGCCTGTTTAGTTTCAGGGAATTGATTTGAACAGCAGTGTCCATTTCTTATTCTTACATGATTTTTAATTGTTTTTCTTTTCAGTTCTTCTTATAAAGCTACAATACCCCTTTCAATTTCTCTGCTCTTAGCTTTGCCTTTTGTTTTTGTGTGAAGGGAGAAGGTGGAACTGGGGGAATAGCACAGCAAGCTTCTATAAGAATTTAAGTTTCCATGCTCTGCAAAATTGTCTCAGAGTAAAGTACTGCAGCTGTCATGATGGCTAGTTAAACTCCATCCTGCAGGGCTCTGCATCCATCAGTTTTACTGTTTTATCGCAGCAGAGCTTCCAGAAGATGCACTGGGAGGAACCTGGAAGATGGGCCAAACTGATGGAATAGAACAATAGGACGATACGACACAAGGGATACACATCTGTGTCTGGACTGTGTGCTGCTAACAGCCTTTAGTTCTCTTGCTTCTTACCTGTTTACGTCAAATTCAGTTTACTTATTTTGATGGTGCCTGTACATCAGCAGGTCCACAGGTACAGGTGGAGCCCCATGGGTTGGTTTGCCACGCATCTTGGTTAGACTTTTTAGTCCTTTAAGGTTCACATTGCTGCTGGTTTCAAATTAGTAGTTCAGAAATAGTTCAGGAAAGTTTGCTCTTTACAGCAATCATTTTTCCCTCTCAGTTTCAACTTTCCTGTGCAGAGAACTTCTCATCTCTCTTCATCTGTCTTTATTCATTCTTCCCCGTTACGCCTGGTGAAGTATCCCCACCTTGGACTTTCTCTGCTTCCAAGAAATGTCCAAAGGATCCTTGGTTTAGCAGCACTCTTCCACTGAAGTAGCCAACTACCATTTATCTCAGTTATTGTCAACTTATATGAGTAGAGGTTAAACACACCCCGAAAAAGTGTATTTTATACATCTTTACAAAAGATGTATAAAAAATTTATAGAGCAACCTACTTGCTAAAATGTGAAAAGGGCCTTAAATCACTACTTAAGCAAAAAAGAGTACTCTCTGCAGAGTTGTCTTCCTGTTTAGGCAAAGTTCCTTTTTTTAGCTGACTTGCATTCTTTTATTGATTTAGTCACTTTTATAATCCTATTTTCAGTGAGTAGCAGAAGATCATAAGCTATTAGATGTGTAGTCTAATAGGGGGAAGACTCTTCAGTCTTCACACGAGAAAGGATTGTAGTTCCTTTCTGAGGATAAGCCTTGAGCTGTGATCATTCAGTAGCTCAGATAATGCAACTATGTCAGTAGTTGTCTTTGCTTAAATATATATATATACATTTTGAAAATAACTCTGTATATATACATTTAAAAAATAACTTTCTTAAATGTTTGATGCTCTTTAATATCTGGGTTTCTTTGAAACCGACACTGAGCTGTATGTTTATTGTTAAAACAAGAGCTTTGTAGTGAAAAGATGCAGTAGTATTAAGGAGATAATGCCGCAGCAAAATGAGGAATGCAGTGCTACAATGCTAAATAGCAACAGATTAAAACCTGTGTAAGCTTTTGGGTATTGTAGTTTGCTGAATATTCTGTAAAACTATAAATGTTATGAATTCTCAGAAATCCATGCTGAAGTGGAGTTGAAGAATTATGGAAAATTTCTTGAGGAGTATGCATCTCAGCTGAAGAGGATTGAAGATGCTTTGGATGACTCTGTTGGAGATGTCTGGGACTTCAGTCTTGATCCCATTGCGTTAAAGGTCTTCATACACTTTTTATTATTCATTAAAACTGTAATGTGCCTTCTAAACCAATACTGTTTTAATCATCAAACAATTATTTGGCTCATATCACAAGAAAAGATGTTTTCATATTATTGCTTTCCAGTCCTTTGGGTATTAGTGGAAGCTAAATGAATGTCCTAATGCTCCCTAATATATGTGTAAATGCAGAGTGAGCTGTGTGTTTGTGCTTATAGCTGTGCTTTTGAATGGCCTTAAATATAAATGTATATGTATTTAGAAAATCAGAATGCACAGTATTTTCCTTCTTCCAGAAGTGTTTTTTTCCCTGCCTTTAAGTTTTCTGTGGAGCATGATTTTTTTTCTTCACCAAACTTGCGCATATCATTTAAAAGCACTTTGGCTTTTGTTACCACATAGAACTTGTCTGTGCAGAAGATGTAGTCTCAAACAATCCTCTGTCTGTTCACATGATGTGGGCTCCTACAGCACTGGATGTATATGAACTAGTCAGTCTCATGGCTGACTTCAGTAGAAAATGTCAGTGCCTGCATGCAAATTTTTTTTATTTGTTTGTTTTTTACACGCACCATAATGACCATGTTGTTGCTTTCCAAGTTCTGTGAGTAAATTGTTATAAATGCCATATAGTGTAGCCGATTATTTCCCTTTCTGCATAAATGTGAAGAGTGAAGGCTTCCTGCAGCACAGGTTTGCAGTAATGTACTATTAGTAGTCCTTTTATTACTGACTTTACTTGAGATTAAACTGTAAAAAAAAATATAAAAATTATATATATATATATACACATACTAACTACCCAGTTGGATAAATGTGGTTTTGACAAGTGTTTTATAAAGTTTGTTTTTGTTTTTTAATAATTTTAGCTTCTGCCTTATGAACAGTCTTCTCTACTGGAGCTCATAAAGACAGAAAACAAAGTAAGTGCTTACAAGAGGAGGAATAAGTTATTCTAGCTAAAACCAAGCCCTTTTAAACATGAAAAATACTCTATAAAGATTTTCACCTGCTGTAGTTATTTATTTGTAATCTATTTATTTTTCTTTTGAATCTAGGTTCTAAACAAAGTAATAACCGTGTATGCTGCCCTTTGCTGTGAAATAAAGAAGTTAAAATATGAGGTAAATTCAGCTGTTACTATGTGCATGAAAATGTTTTCAGATTGGCAAGATGACATATAGATTATTATTTTGCAATAAAGAAACAAGTTATAATGTCTAAATTTTTGTAGCATGATTACATATATACTATTTAATAAAACAAATTTCTGTTTTTGTTGTTAGGCAGAAACTAAATTTTATAACGGCCTCTTGTTTTATGGAGAAGGAGGTAAGTAGCTCCCTTTCCAGTAAAAGTTTGTAGTTTTACTTAATTACTTCAGGTTATGTTAAATGCTAGAGTAAGTGTAATTTTATATTACGGATACGTGCTTTCACTATGTCTTTGAGTGATGAATGTTAAGAAATGGACTTGATGAGTATAGAGATAGCATTAAAACTTTATCTATGAAGCCCTGTTACCTGCATCAAGTATTGTCACATTAATAGGAAGTTTCGTTGCACCTTTACATGAGAAGTAGGGAGCATGTTTACATTTTTCTGACAAATGGCTTTTAAGTACAGATACTGAGAGAATGCATGAGATGTATAAAAGCAGTACATCTGAAATACATCATGATTCTTTTTTTTTTCACGATAAACATTTAGGCTTCTTTTTTTTTTTTTTTAATGAGATTATATTTATGCTGTACAGAAACCTGTAGCAGCTATTTTTCAAAGTATGGCATTGAATACCCGTGTTTCATATGTGAATATTTTATCCTAAAACAGCATATTTCATATTAGGACTGTTTTTTGTATTGATTGTAGTAAAACCGTAAATTTGCAATTTGATTGCAATAAGACAGTGCAACTGTTAATAAATACTTAGACCAAGTCTTATTATATGTTGACTTTATTCATAAGATCAGTTTTTTTAGGAAAAACTACAGCATGTTAATGTCATCTTCTGCACTTCAAATGAAAGCAGTATTACTCATTACTGCTGCTTAGACCATGATATAATACAGGGACAAAAGTGGCTGAAACTCAGTTGAGTTAACAAACCCTGAAAACCTGCTTTTTGCCACAGAATTTAACTGGTAACTCACCCAAGGGGTCAGCCTTAAGCTTCTACATTAAAGGATGCTAGTCTCAAAGTAAGCAAAGATCTCAGTCCTAAGGACTCAAATGTATTAATGATTTAGGGACATGCTACCTAGCTTTGTTTTCTGATTCAGAAATGTGAGATGGAGGAAAGCATGCTCCTTTCCGAGTAGTTTTCCAGAAAGGCTTTTTTTTTAATTAAAAAAAAATATAAATAAAATCAAGAGCCTTGACTACAACAGAAGTATGGGGGAATGTTTAGCATTCTTTTAAGTTCTCTATAAGATGTCTGTTGTGGTTCAGTTGAGAAATGTCAAAAAAAAAAGTGTGGGTCTTGTGTATTTTTTTTTTTTATTATTTTGTAGATTCTCACTTATTCTCAGACATGGTTTTTAATATCTGAAAAGAAAGTGCAAATATAATTGCACTTAATTAGTTGCACAAAATAATAGTAGGGGTCTCTCAAAAGCTTTTCATGTCTCTAGCATGAAAAAAGGCAGACTGTTGTAGATTAGTATGTTAACACAGCAGTTTCCGTGGTCCATAAGGAATGCTTCTGAATGGCAGAAATTGAGAGGCCAACCTTCTGTGGTTTGGGATGTAAAAATGATATTCTCTGCTCCCAGATCCCTCCTCATAGCATATGCTTTGATAACAAGTAGCTTGCTTACTTAGAACAGATAGCAAAACCACTGCCTCGAGGGTGGATAAATTAAACAGAGAAACACTGTGCAACCTTTTGCCTTCGGTATATAGAAACATTTTTTTTCATCTTGTCCTTTAAGTAACTAGGGCTAGTGTGGGAATTTCAGGACATTGGATTGCTTTTTGGGTCATTTGCTAATCTCTGTAGAGTAAAGGTTATGTAACAAAGGTGCAAAGGGGAAGGATGCAGTGTTTAATTGGAACTCTGGGACAAAAATTGTAATGGTTATAGAGGCTCATTTAGACTCTGGTGATTGCTCTTAAAGAGCATTTTTATGAAGCAAAAGACCAGAAATCTAAAACTAAATGCTGTTTAGGAGTTTCCCTCTACAGGTTGAAAGGTCATCTCTGTAACAGGAGACTGCTTTCCTCTAACGTGGTGTCATTTCTTTTGTGGGTAAACTTGCAGTTATAAGCTGTTTTCACTCAGAGTGGCCCAACAGAAAAATCTTAAGTCTAGAGCATTAATCTGCCAGGACATTACCTGACAATAGTCTTTTTAGTATTAAAACTGTTTCAGCAGTCCAAAAGAATTTGACATTGGTGATATAATTATTGTATCTCGCAGTACCATGTTACTTGACTTTGACATACAAGTAATGCTTTGGAGCTGTGGTGAGAACCAGTTCTATTACACTGCATGATGTATAGGAGAAGGAAAACAAATTTCTTTAGGAACTTTTATTCTATACAGCTTTTCATCTTTGTTTTATGATGCAATATATTTGTTCAGTTAATAGCTATACCAGTAGGCATTCCTTGCAATATATAAATGCCTTGCTTTTTACAGACTTTTTAATGGAAACTTTATATCAAAGTTATATCCTTTAAAGAACTATGTTTTATAGATTTTATTTTCTTTCATGTTCTGGAGTTTTTTCTTTCCTGCTGTATGTGTAGCTTAAACTAATTTTTAATGTGAAAACTAAATTAAAAGCTTTTAAAGTTCTGTCAGTTAGCTTTTATTTATGTATTCTGCTTGTATGACATACAAATGGTTTGGAGGGCAAGCTTCAGAATTTGATGAATAAAGTAGTGACAAATCTTTGTTTTTCAAGGCACAGATTCCAGCATGGTAGAAGGAGATTGCCAAATACAGATGGGAAGATTTATTTCTTTCTTGCAGGTAGAGTATCTCTTGATTCTGACAGCAATTATAATCTTAATTTTATTTGCAACGTGGATTTAGCAACCTCCAGTATCCTGCCTGCATGTTGCTGAAAGGTACTGCAGTCATCTGATAGACAACGTTTTGCCTGTAGGTCCGTTGCAACCAGCTCACTTACAAGACAGCTGTGTAAGTTGGGTTGGTAATCTGTCGGTCTTTACTTTAGCTTTTATTTTTTTTGTTTGTTTATATGCATCTAAAATTCAGGTAGTCTAATGAGAGAATAAATTATGGTTTGTGTAATTACTGTACAGAGAATTTAGCATTAAGCAAATTTAAATAAGACAGTAAACTGAGGTTGTTTCATTTGATAGTAATGTTAAAGATATCTAATCTTATGGCTTCAATTTTTTCAAGTTTTAGTTTTCATTGAAAACTGGGCTTCAATTATTTATACATTGTTGTGTAGCTATTAGGGGGAAAATTAGAATGTATCTGGAAAAAAATTGCTTGCACCTCTCTCAAGCTTTCAGGGAAGAATATTCATTATTTTGGATGAAAAAAGAATCAGTTCCTTCTCAGGATTTCCTGTGCTTTTGGATTTCAGTCTACTATGGAATTTTTTTCCTTCCTTATAGCTTGACTGTCCTGTTCCAAAGATGTTTCTATTTTTATGCAGTATTGCTTGTAATGAAGCATACATGTTGAAGTGGAGAAGATACAGGAAACTTTCATTATGCTTAAACAAATTCTTATTTAATAAATATTAAAATTTCTGTTCTTGCTGTATGCTAGCATGGCAGTACTCATTTAGTGGCCATTAATAGTTGAGTGCCAGAGGCTGTTGTTTCTTAACCTCTTTTCCCTTGCCTATGTGCAGTTAGTTTTTGTGATTTTTTTTTCTTGCTATTTTATTCAGGCTTTTTGTCCTATCAACATTGTAAATTTTTTCTTTAATACTCTATTTCTTATTGAGCAGATGTTTGAGAGCTGGTGGTGGTTCTGAGAAGGGGCTACTGTACACTTGTGTTCTATTTTTTTGAGATGGCAGTTGAGAGCAGGGTGACTGGTTGTCTGGATAGCTTCAGCATATGTGCATTATAAAACCCACCATGTAGTACGAACTTATGTACATTTAGGTGGTATATCCTGTTAAGCGTATTTATGGTAGAAATGATACATAAATACAGCCTTGCTTGTGAACCAGCTCTGTATATCTGCTACTATGGTTTGCTGAATGTTGAGCAACTTGGAAAGAAGGCAGACAGAGGACATTGCTCTAGAGGGAGGGTTACTGTGCTAACAGGCTTGTGTTAATTTGGTAAAGCTGTGTGGGGAACTTTTTCATTTTTGAGTCTTTTTCAACTGTTGTGTTCCTTTGAAGTTGCTCAGTTGTAGCAAATTGACTGGGGGATGCTGCTGTGGTCAGTTACAAGCAGTTCTTTGAGGGCAGTGTAAAAATATGAATGAAGACTCTAGGAGAGGTGAAATGTGGTTTCTATGTAGCTAACGTGTATCTACTGATTTATGGGCTCTTCTGAGTTAAATCTCTTGGTATGCAGACATTGAGAACTTAATTAACTAGATGCTGTAGACTATTGGTTTGCTATGTAAAAACATTTAAAAAAAATCAAATTAATGCCATGAAACACTAGTAGGTTGTCTTCTTGCAGAAGACAGTTCATTTGAAGAACTCTGGAAAAATGGCAATTATCTATATTAGGTAGCTGATAATACACATGTGCTGTTAAATTGGATCATTGACTGGAAGTGTTAAGAAGGCAGCTGAAAGAAATTTTAAAAAGGCAATGGAAACATGATCTCAGTTGTCTATTAATCTGTTCTTCTGGAACCTGTGGGCTGGTTGCAGCTCAATTTGATAGAGTAATACAAATATAAGAAGTAATGACACTTTCATGTTTTGTACAAACTGGTGACTAATAGAAGGCAGAAGCCCAAATAAGATCTATTTTTGATGGAGAAGAGAGAATTCAGCTGTTAGCCAGTCTTCTGGCAAGAACAGCAGGCTGTCTGGTTAGCCTGCGTGGGTTGTCTGCTATGGAGCCATCTGTGTACTGACTGGCCACTCATCTCATGCAGACTTCTGCCTGGTAGGATTGTAAGATGCAATAATAAATAAACACTGTTGTGGTTAAGGGAAACCCAGATTCATTTACCCTATTGCTTAAGGAACACCTTGTTAAAATCCATTATAGAAATTACGATCATTTTTTTTTTTTCTATGATCAAAGTTGACCTCTTCTTACTCATTTTGTACTATGTAATTGAGCACAAGTTCTGCTTTACTTAAGCATTTATCTCAAAGACTCTTTTTTTATTTTTTAAGACAGTATTCTGTGGCTAATCATTTTTATAGAAGGCACAGGCTTCTGTATTAATTTCTCATTTGAATTTGTCTATCGCTGGCTTCCAGAGTGTGACGCTTGAATCTAGTATTAAGGTATTAAGTATTAAGTCATGAACTGGTATTAAGTCACTTTTTACTGTCTAATAAATAGAACTCTTGCAGACTTTTACAGCAAGATGTTTAAAGCATGTTGAGCTCCTGGAGGTGACTCTTTTCTGTACCTTTTCCAAAAACCCTGTATCCTTTTTTAAAATGTGGTATTTCACTATCTACCTTGTCAAAACTACATGCAACTCTGAAATAATTTGTTTTCTTTATTATGATTTTATATGTCTAAAGTGCTTATTGGTACTTTTAATATTTCAAGTGATACTAGGAGCTGTGTGCAGTAGCTTCTTGACCTAAACACAGATCTGCTTTCCATCCTGCTGTAGATTTGTCCACTGACTTGAATTAGGAATGTAGCTGGAACTTGTGCTGCAAGTTCAGTTGTTTATGTTCTGTATTTTGGAAGCAGCAACGCTGTTCACAAGGAGGGATTATACATACATATGCATTTATTTTCTTGTATTTCAGGAGCTGTCTTGCTTTGTTACCCGATGCTATGAAGTGGTGGTGAATGTAGTGCATCAGTTGGCTGTTCTTTACACCAGCAACAAGTAATTATTCCCTGAAATGCTTTATCACATTTATGTAGTTAAAAATGTATAGAATATAAACACTCTACCAAAGGCATGGTCATTTTTGGAATATGACTATCAAGAGATGGTGCTTTGCTGTATAAGTTTCGGCTTCATGAGCCATTTTGAAAGTGTATTTTATTTTTGGAAAAGTCAGAGCTTTTATTTGATTAGATACGAGTGGTTTTTTTTAGTGTTTTTTTTTTTTCTTTTTTTTTCTCCCCATTTTTGATAGATTTGGTATGTCAGAGGCACTTAGTCTTGATGTTCAAGAGATCCTCCTATTTTTCTTTCAGCTTTGTTCTGTTTGAGAGAGATTTCTTCTGTTGACTGGTACAGTAGATACCAGTAGCTTCCAAAGATTAAAAATCTGATCGCTTTTACAGTCTAATGTTTAAATGTGTGGTCTTTGTCAATATTAAATCGTCCACTGAGTTTAAAAACAAATTACTGTCACTTGCCATGTGAACCCATACTTTTGTGTATACAGTGATAATTGGTATATCTGAGGGAGAGGCAAGTATCCTACAGAATGGAGTCTGTGGTGTCTGAGATCACTGGTTTATTCTTTAATATTTAACATTAATTATAATCTTTAGATAAAAGACACTATGGACAATACTGCTGTTTGTTTTGATTTTGTAAGTCATGTTACAGATTAATCACAGAGCAACTGTGGTTTTAACGCATGATATTGATGGTTGTTGAGCTTTGTTCCTCTTAGAATGCAGAGAGAAGGAGAGATCAGCCCTGAACAGAGTTGTTGGGTTTAGCTCTGAATATAACTGCAGGGCTCTAGATTGTTTTTCCCCAACATAGGGTAGTATTGTTCTTCTCAGTTTTACCTGTTTTCATTCTTGTCTTACGCTGTAGCACAAGGTAGACTTTATGTATAGCCCTGAGTGAGCAGGGCTGGTTATGTAGCTTGGTTATGGCTTGGTTAAATGTGTGATTTTTGTTTTTGTACTTTTGGGGCACAAGGCTGTGTCAAGGCTACTTGTTTACATAACTGAATTGGGAATTGCTGATAGACGTGCACTGAATGAAATCAGTGGTTTAAACCAGTTGCAAGCTGTACATTCAAAACTGCAGTATAAATTTTGATTATATAGCACGCATTTCACATAGTGTATGCTTTAATCAGATTTTGATAGTAATTTTGCTTTCTGACATTACTGTGTTAATGAAGAAGAACTTATGCCAAGAAACAAAGAATGCACCTTGATACAGAAACAGTAAATATGTTCTATTCTAAGGATTAAAAAGATGTTAAAGGACTTGTTTTATTTACAGGAATGCACCTAAAATTATAGAGACGTCAGGAGTTCATTTTCAGGTGGGAATGATTTTGTACCCTTTCGCTTTTGTTAATTTCATGCTAATATATTTGTCTTCATTCTGAGGAAAGTAGCAAGAAAGTGAATTGCAAGTACAGCTTTCAATCTGGAGTCTCCTTTAAAGACTTTACTTTGTTAATCAGCTTTTTCTGGCCTTTATGTGGAAAGGGCTGGTACCTCTGTCTGTCAAATTCTAGCTTTCGTAGCTAAAAAGTTCTGACATGCTTTGTTACTGTATGCAATATGTGCTTGGGCTTTTAGCTAATTTTGAATATCCTACCTTCAATATTAAATTAGATCAGTGAACTTTAGGTGGTGCCTACATGCAAACTAATGTTCCTTGTGTCCCACCACAGGACATACCAAATCTTTAAACAACCAAAAGACTGACTTAAATGATGTCTTAGATAATGACTTAGCTCATGTCTTGCTGGCTTTAAAACAACTGACATTGTATATGCAATGCATCACTGCAGTGAACATTACAATAACTACAATCTCTTCTACTTTTTTTTTTTTTTTTTTTTTTAAAACAGGCAATGTATGACCATCTGGGAGAATTACTGACTGTCTTAATCACTCTAGATGAAATAATTGACAATCATGCCACTTTGAGAGATCACTGGACCATGTACAAGAGGTGTGTCTCTGAAGGTGTGAAAAATACTCTCATGACATAAAAGCATGTGCATGTGTCTTGTTTGAAGAAAGTCAGTTCAGGAAAGTGAATTTTTATTAGCCCTGAGTGCTTATGAGAAAACTCAGTGAGGAGCAGGGGGAAGCTCCCACTTTGTCCTTCTAACAGTATCAGTAAGTTTTTTACAGTGCTGAATGTTTTGTATGCCATTCCTGAAACTGTACACGGTAAGTATATTGAGAAAGTTTAATGTTTAAATGTATTCAATAAGAAATCTAATTTTCCATTTCCCTATTGATCACGGGGATGGACATACAGATTTGAGTAAGAACGCTATCTAAAGGAAGAGCTGGAGTCAGCAATTACATAGGTAGTGGAAAAATAACTTTAATTGAAAGCCTCAGTAGATGGTAGTTGTTCAAATACAAGTGGCTTACACAGACTTTTTATTTGTTGCAATTTTGGAGTTGTTGCTAGGCACGTTCCACAGAACACTGATATTATCAAAATAGTACAGGATGTGATAAAACTGTTAGTATGTTTTAATTGTTTTGCATCTCTCTGTTCTATGCTTACCTGTTACAGGCTGCTAAAATCTGTCCATCACAACCCTTCCAAATTTGGAATTCAGGAAGATAAACTGAAGCCATTTGAAAAGTTGCTGTTAAAACTGGAATGCCAATTACTTGATGGAATGATATTTCAGGTAATAACATTAATGTTCACCAATATGATAGGGGAAACTGGTGCCAAAGTGAGACTTTTCCTAGAATGTCTTTCAATAGGATGTCACACTTGTGTATTTTTCAGTGTCTGTGTGTTGGATTCGTTGTTGTTTGGTCTGGCTTGTTTCAGATAGTGATGTGTGAATTTGGCTGTTTTGCATTTGTACATTTTTTTGAAAAAAAGCTTGATTGTAAGATCCTTCCCTGCTATTCTCTTGTGCTAGAACTGTGCCAGGCTTTGAATGGTAGCAGTTAACACTCACTGTTTTGCACAACAAAAGAAATGCAGAGAATTTTGCGTTAGGACTGTGTATTCTCAGGGAGTCTGATTTTCATCCAGAAATTTTAATTGGGTCAGGCTTACATAGCATAGGTCCACTTCATTCTAGCTGCAAATTAAAATCTCTTCACGATCTTTGAAATACATTGTGTGACCTCTTGTTACATATTTTGTCTCATTCCTAGCATATGAGACAAGTACTTGTCATTAGGAATCACTTTAGTAGTGCATACCCCTGAAATGTGCAAGTGTACAGCTGGAGGAGAAGAATTGCTCCTTTTTCAGTATGTTTAGTTTAAATGTGTTCATACAAAAAGCCATTTTACATTAAAGGGTTAGTATTTGAGACACTCGTACTGGATGTTGCTGAATTTGGTCACAGCAGAGCCAACTGAACAGGGTGAGCAAGAACTTAGTTCTTGCTGTTACATCGTAAATGGCATAGGGAAGAAAGTTCTGCTCTGGAAAAGACTTCAAAAGTGAAATTGTAGCTAAATCGTTAAATATAATTAGGCTTTTCCTTTCAAAACTGATACTGATATCCAACTATCATTTTTTTATCTTAACTTTCTATAACGTTGCGTTAGTACAAAAGCTTAATTATGTTTAATTTGAGACATCAATAGCATTTGTCTGCTATTCATTCAAGATGTTTCCCCTCCTGTCCTGCCAGTACTCCTTTCTAACAAAAACAATAATACATGAAAAAATTCTCACATACAATCCCATTAAAGACTATTCTAATATGGTTAGAAAAACAGCCACCAGTGCTGTGGGCTTTTTATGCTACGAGACTGTGAACGACATCCTACATGTTACCTGGATGATGATCTTGTTTGGTTAATGGTATTGCATATTTGTAGCAAGATATTATTTAATATGTTAGCACCTAGTTTCTCATCACTAGCACTAGCATCATGTGGTTTCTTTGAAAGTGCCTTATGGAAGAAATACTAAATCAGTAAATACATTGAATGGTGGTGGATTTTTATTGTTCTTTGGCTGTTTTTACTGTTAGACATAAGAGACATAAGAGGTTTTTAATGTTTTCTGTTTGCTTTAGTACACTAAGTAACTTAAATAGATAATAAATCTATCCGAAGTAAACTTTAAGATCGGTTTATGTCATACAGCACTAGCCTGAAGTTACAATGTAGTCTTGCATTTTTCTTTTGCAAAATCAGTATTCTTTTGAGGCCTGAAATTTATGGCATTTTACCATTTTTTAAAATTTTTTTTTCCTTCAGGCCTGCATAGAACAACAGTTTGATTCCACAAATGGTGGAGTGTCTGTGTCAAAGAATAGCACGTTTGCTGAAGAATTTGCTCATACTCTTCGCACAACTTTTGCAAATGTTGAAGCCAAACTTGGTAATGCAAGCTGATGTTTATCCTGCCAGGTTCCATGTTTCTAAGTGGCTATCGTGTGTCTGAGAGTACTGCAAAAAGCAATTATTAATTAATTGATTTTTTTTATCTCTGCAGGTGAACCTTCAGAAATTGACCAGAGAGATAGATATGTAGGCATCTGTGGCCTCTTTGTACTGCATTTTCAGATTTTTCGGACTGTAGACAAGAAATTTTACAAGTCATTGCTGGATGTTTGTAAAAAGGTAAGTGCTTTACTTCTTTTGTTAATTAAGAGGAAAAAAAATCCTTAATGAGCAGATAATTTTCTTGGCTGTGTAGCATGGTTAAGACTTGGGAACAGGAAGAACGTGCAAGTTACCAAAACAGGTCAGAGAGCAGACTTTAATTTTTTGTTCCTTTTTATAATTACCTCTCACTTATTTTAAAGATGGTCTAATGCCCGTGCACTCACTTTGTGTTTTACACTTGGTACACAGAAAGATCAAATAACTTGAAATTACCATTAAAATGTTTCTTCTCAAGATTAATATGGCAGTGAGGACAAAGAGTTGTTTGTTGAGGTTTGAGTATTGCAAGGCTGGTCAAATGCTTTGGGTTTTGATGTTGGGTAGAAGCATACATTTTTTTTGAATGACCTTTAAGTCTAAAGGTGATCAGGGATTTTTCATTTTGTGTGGTATTAAGAAGTTCTCAAACACTATTAAGAAGCACTGAGAATGGTAATAATTCTGCGTCCAGTGTCCTTTATGGGCTTCTAAGGGAAGAACATTTTTTAATGTGAACAGTAATGTTGTGTAGAAAATAATTATACAAAAATAAACTGAATTGTTATGGTTTAAAAGAGGCATAAAACAGATGTTTCATAAGTAAAAGGACAGACACAGTGCATAGTGGCATAGTATTTTTTTTCTTGTCATCACTTATGTTTTTTGCTACTTCTTAATATTCTGTCCCTTTTCTCCCCTTTTTCTTCAAGGTACCAGCCATCACGCTAACAGCAAATATTATCTGGTTTGCTGACAACTTTCTGATTCAGAAGATACCAGCTGCTGCCAAACTTCTGGACAAGAAAAGTATTCATACAGTTAAAATACAAAGGGATAACTTTCTACAGCAGAAGGCACAGTCACTTACCAAGTATGCTTCCTAAATATTGCTTCACTGCGCTGATTGTCAAATAACGAAGAAATTTGTGTATTTATAAACTCAGCGTACTAATGTGTTTTACAGTGTTGCTAAGTGGTGTGGGGAAAAAGGTTGATACCACTGCAGTAATGTGTGCTAAAAGGAAGTATTGGTCAAACTTAAACTTTCAGAAAAATGTGTATTACGTTATGTGACCAAAATCACAAAGTTCCTGGCAGTTCTAAACGTTTGATTTTTTTTTTTTTTCTTCTCAGTTGTTCTTTGTTATTTCCATACTTTAAACTGCCAGTAACCTGAGCCGCTTTCTTTTCTGTTAGCACTCACTGGTTTCTATGTGTTTGTGGAGATAAGGCCCATGTAGACTGACTGACTGATTTATGAAGGGATTTTTCTCTCCTCAGTGATACTTCCCTTGCAAGCATTTTTTTTTCTTCAGGCGTTTAACTGCTTGTTTAGTGGTCTATGAAACTGTCTACCTTGGAAAAGGTTTCTCTTTTGTGCTCTGCTTGTCATTTGCAGATCATTTCCTGCTCTAAGTTCTTTCAAAAATCTCTGTAAAGATGAGTTGGAAATTTAAATTTTGTCCTATGAACAATGTGCTACACTGTGTAGAAATGTAACACAGCTACATCTTTTGTTTGTGTTGCAAACTGATACAAGGTGGAAAATGGTCTGAGGAACAGAAATAAACACTTAAAGTTTGCAGGTTGACTTCCAACCCTGTGTGCAAAAGTGGGTTGGAGAGGAGGGGCAAGAGGGAAACAAAGGACAGTGATTTCATGCCTACGTGATCTTCCAGCAGATTATTTTCACTTCTGCCTATTTCTGTTTCACTTTGTGGTTTGCATCCTGTGTCCATTGGAATAATCAAGTGCTCTGACCAAATTTTTTCCTGGGCTTTAATTCATGGGTGGAGCATAATTACACTGCTGCTTTGCTTCTGGTTTTGGGCAGTGGTACAAATCTTCTCTTGCAGCTCTTAAGATTCAGAAAAGGTTTAAAAAAAGATCTGGGTATTCACAGTCATTTTGAGGACATTATAATAAATCAATTTTTTTCCATCTGCTCATTTGAATTCTGCTGGTAACTACTACTAGTGGAAGAACTTGTTTAAAAAAAAAAAAACAAAAAAAAACACAAACCACAGCCTTTGATAACTGTTCCCTTAAATATGAGCACTTACTAATGAATAATTTTTGACACTTATCAATGACCTAAGTACATTTCTGTTGTAACTGCTACTGTGTATTGTATTGCAGTGTCAACGTTCTGTACTGTGGAATAAATAGCAGTTTTAAAAGTGATCTCAATTTAAATATTATAACTGGTGTAATCAAAGCAGATTATCTTCTGGAGAAGTATGTTATTCAAGAGCAGTCCAGTCTGGCATTGATGTAATGACAAGCTTTGTATATTTCAAATTCAAACTTTGAGGAAAAACTTGCAACTTGTGGAGGACTGTTTTGTCTGGTGTTTGAAAGCATTTTCTAGCAGTTTTATTTACTGTGCTAATTTAAAGTAGTATGGTATATACTACTCAGGGGGCCATTTGTCTCTTGAAAGAATGGATTATAAAAGATTTTGACTCCTGGGGTATGCTTGTACAGATGTAATGGCTAGACTAATCCTTATCGATTGAGAATTAAAGCATAAGTGAATATGATGTTCAGATATTTTTGAGAATGGAGAAAGTTACTACTGTAATATATTTCCTATAGAAGAATTCAGGCTTTGGAAAGAGAAAATTCTCATACTCTTTTTATTTGAAGTGAAAAACATTCTTTGTTTCCTTCTCCAGAGATATGCAGTCATATTATGTCTTCGTGAGCTCATGGATGACAAAAATGGAATCCATCTTGTCGAAGGAGCAACGCATGGATAAGTTTGCTGAAGATCTTTCTAACCGCTGTAATGTCTTCATTCAGGTGTGCGGTCTTTTAATGTTTTGATACAAAAAACAATACCAAAAAAGATGTTTTCTTGCAAGCTGTTGAACTTTAAAATAAATTACAGAAATGCTGTGGTTATCTGTGTGTTAGTGCACAATCTGGGAATTCTTCTAAAACTTGAAATGTCTGGTTGATACTCTTTTGAGTAAATCTGTAAAAGGTGTTTTCCACAAGGCACATGGGGGAAAACAAATTGACTAAATATTCAATGCTTAAAATTTTGAAATTTTCTCTTAGGAAATCTAGAAGGCTTCATTTTCTTTGTAGTAAAGGTGTTATTTTTCCTTTTGAGTCAGTCAGGAGGTGTATAAATTGGACTGAAACAGTGTGTACTTGGCTTTATTTAACACAATACGTTCCTCCAGTAAGAGGTTTTTTGTTGTTTCGTTGTGCTTTGCCTATTGATGGTACTTTGCAAGAATCTTACTATGTACTGAGGTAGCTGGTTTTCTTTTGGGCCTACTAACAGCATGTAGTCTTGATGTAAGATGCATCTTACTTATTTTTTGCAAGTTTTTTTATGCATCTGTCTGCCTGACAGAAATCTGATGTGAATAGGCACATGATAGAAGCATGATCCTGGATCTTCCGTATCTAAAGACACATATGTACTAGGATGTGTCTCTCTTATATTTGAATTACTTGCAAGGAACTTGTAAGTTTGTCTCTGTAGCAAATTGAGTTTCCTGGACCACTTGCCTTTTCCTCATCTTTTTTTTTGTTGTTACAACTTCTCCTTTGAAGTAAGTTGAATATCATTTTTGTCTTCCTGTACATGGTCAACAGTGATTTTTAAGCTTGGCAAACTGAAAAAGGTTGTTGTGGGAATGGTGTTTTTCTTTATTTTTTATTGTGGGATGGACAGTTCTATTTAGAAAGTGTATAGAACTGTGTAAATACTGCTGGTGGATTTATTCTATGAAAGTTTTAGTTTTTGTGATAGTAAGACCTTTCAGGTGATTAATTAATTCACTGACCTATGTTTAATTTGAATGACTGTAGGAGAGGTTAATGACCAGGTGATTTACTGACTCCTGGGAAGGTTTGTAATGTCTACCTGATTAAAAAAAGGTCTTACTCAGGTTTGAGATCCCAGGCTTGTTGCTTAGATGGAGTGATTCTCTTTCTATTAGAGGCAAAAGTTAATTATCTGGCATGTATGAAGGAAAACAGAGAGGACTTACTTGGTATATTGTAAAAATATTTGTTTCTTTTTCCCCTCTTACTTTATTTTTATACCCTTTTATTTTTAGGGTTTTCTTTATGCATACAGTCTTAGCACCATCATTAAAACTACAATGAATCTCTACATGTCAATGCAAAAGCCTATGACCAAAACCTCAGTGAAAGCTCTGTGCAGGCTTGTGGAACTTCTAAAGGTAGGTCACAGAGTGAAAACTTGATTTCATGTAGGTTGTCACAGGGAACTTTGATCTAACATCACAATGTACTTTAAAAATGGAAAAAAAAAAAAGGTGGGGATGTTTGTGAAAGTGGTGGAGTGGGGAACCTAAAAGGGGAAGTGCTTTTGTGTGGCTTCTTGTTCAAGACTGGTTTTGAATAGAGAACAGAAGGTTTGGGAAACAGAACTGATTTATGTAACTTCTAACTAGTTTCCTTAGTTGGTGTATTGTGCTGCTTCTTTTTCTAAAAAGGAAATACTCTGTTTTGGGATTCCTTTATAAAATTACGTTGAACAGAATTGGATTATTTATAATAATAAAAAAGAAGGCACTAAACAAAACCACAAAACTTCTTCGCGCTCTTGAATAGTTTGATTTTCTCAATTTCTGTGACAGTTAATGGCTACTGACAGTATACTGCAAGCATAAAGAGTCTGTATTTGCAGTGTGGATGAGTTAGCTGGGATAAATGCAAATTCTAGAGGCAACAGTTTTGGTAACTACATCAACTATTGTGTTTTGGCATTGACTTAAGGCAATAGAACACATGTTTTACCGAAGAAGTATGGTTGTGGCAGATTCCGTGACACACATCGCTCAGCATCTGCAGTATCAGGCTCTTCACTCTATTTCTGTAGCCAAGGTATGTAACTCAAATTCTAATAGTTGTTATAAGCCAAGTGTTTTTTATTGAAATCTTAATTTCAAATTAAAGTATTTTTCTTGGTTTGGCAAAACTGATAGATATCTAAACTTTCCAGTAAGTCATAGGTTTGCCTTAAACCTTACAACATAGACGATAGCTATCTATTTTTTGATCGAGTAGGGGTTCTCTCTAATTCTCAGCTGCTGCATCTCTTGTTGTATCCCTGTCGTGTTCTTTTCCATGTTTATTTCTAGTGATTTTCAGCCTGACCTCTTGTAACCTCCTTTCTGAATCATATTCTAAAAGCAATCTGTTTTAAATCCAAGCAAGCAGGCTGTTACTTATTGAAATCTTTGTCCACATGGCAAAATACAAGTGGGTAATATATGGTGGCCTACAGGGCTCTAATGTGGGCATAAATTCAATATTTCTCTCAGTGAGGTGAAACAGCTTATGGTTGTGCCATACCATAATTAGTACATATTTTGTTTACAGGAAGATATAATTAGTTTCACACATATTTTGTTTATCAGCTCGTGTATTTCTGAATTTAGGGTAAAAGGGAAAACGAGTTTTTATTTTATACCTCTTGTGATGTATTGCTGATTTTGTTCTTTTATTGTGTTCAGTAGCCAAATTACAAAGGAGGTATGGCACTGATATCAGTGCAGCTGTAAAACTTTGTTTTTGTTTTGATTTCGTTCACACAGAGATTGCAATTTTAACAGTATATTTCTTTAGTTGGGAAACTTGTTTGATATGTTTGAAATTTGGCTATAATCTCCATTTGTCTGGCAGTTCCACATTTTCTGGTGTAAGCCAAAAAATGAAATTTTACTTCAAAAAAGCTGATATGCATATCAGGAATAATATCAACTAAAGAAGTTCAAAACTTCAGAGCTGCTAAAAAAACAAAACCTGCATGTCTTCAAAGAAACAGTTTGTGTGTACAGATAACTTCATAACCTTTGCAAATTATATATGTAATTGCATTACAAATTATTTTTAAATGCATAGAAATATGTTGATACTTGTGAGTGGATATCAAAGGGAACAGATTTGTGAACAGATCTTGATATTTTGACTACTTTCCTTCTCAGAAAATACGTAACAGGCAAATGCTGGCAAATAGAAGAGATCATAAGTACTAATCTTTTTTTATCTGCTGTACTTAGAAATGTGTTTAGCAGATGACAGAGTTGAGTAAAGGTCTAAGGCATATACTTTGCATAGCTTTAGCATTGAGGGGTAGGAGTTTCACGTTGAGCACACTTGATTAAAGTTGGAATAGTATTTAACTCTCGTGAAACTGTGCCTCTTCTGAATAATGCTGCTACTCTTGAATAAATCTGAGAGATCAACTTAGCCAGAAGACTTGGCTCCCTGCATTTTTAACATGATTTTTTTTGCATGTTGTCTCTCTGATAAACTAGAACTTGTAGAAAATCAGAAGTTATCATTATTACCACATTTATACATCTTTTGGCTCTTTTCCATAAATTGTATTTTTTTATTTTTACTAACAATAGGAAGCTACTACTTTTAAGTAAATGAATTAAACCTTAAGTGTATGTTAGAACAAAAATTGGCATGCAGTTTATGCAGTGTTTCTATAGTAATATGACCAGACCCATGTTCATGCTGAACTGTGCATATTCCAAGCTTGTAGATAGATAATACCACTGAATTGACAGAAGGAGTTAATCTGGATTCAGTTAGCTTTGTTCACAAAATCTAATTTGTTTTCAGAAATACTCAATTTATGACAAATCTATAAACTTTGAGAATAATAGGTAAGATATTGCTTTTGGGCTTAGCTAACTTTTTTCTGAACTTCTGTGTCTTTCTGTCATCAAGAAAAGAGTCATTTCTGATAAAAAGTACAGTGAGCAGCGCCTGGATGTCCTTTCTGCTTTGGTGTTGGCTGAGAATACCCTCAATGGGCCGAGTACAAAACAGAGGCGACTAATTGTTTCCCTTGCACTGAGTGTGGGAACACAGATGGTAAGTGCCACAATTGTTCCAGACCTTCACTTATTTAGAATCATAGAAACATTTAGGTTGGAAAAGACCTTCAACTCTAGTATCTTATTAAAAAATATATATGTATAAGACTGTCATCTTTTTCTTTTAAACAGAAAACTTTTAAAGATGAAGAACTCCTTCCCCTTCAGTTAGTTCTGAAAAAATTAGACTTGATCAGTGAACTTACAGAGCGGTAAGTGGCGTATATATCAGTGTATATAAATGTAAGTGGTATATATATCAGGTAAGTGGTATATATCAGTGGCACATGATATATATTGGAGGCGATGTATTGTCATGGGGGGAGCTGGGTCTTCTTTGTGCAAATTGCAAACTCTGGTAGCTGCATGCTGGTCATGATTTTTATATGTATTGTAAACCAGGGATGAAAAAAAGAATTCCATAGCTAAACCTGAAACTTGGTAATCTTTGGGTAGGAAGTGCAAGTCGAGTTAGGTAATAATACTTTGGCCGCTTTGAAATTCTGTCACTTCCTGAGACAGGTAGAGAGCTAGGCTTTATGTTAAGCTAAAGTCCTTCTCTTAACCAGAGCTCTGATTAACTGATCATCAGAGTTGTTCGTAAATGTTAGTGTAAGTGCACATACATGTAGAGTAGCTTTTGAAACTAACTAGGCCTTTTTATCCACCGTGAGTGTAGTTTTAGGGAACGCTCAAGTAAAATAATGTTAGGCATCTGAAAGCCAGGTGAATATCTGTTACGTGCATATTTTATGGAGAACAACAAACATCACCAGTGGATGACTTGTGGGAAAAGTTACTGAGATAAGTATTGCACACAAGTTCTGTAAAGAAGGGCTTGCTTCTAATTTTTTGGCTGCAGAAGAAGCTTAGAATATGTGTTTGACTTCTAGGCTATTCATAGCATGCAATAAGAAAATAATTAGTTGGGATTTTGCTGTAGAGTAACTATTTATTTTTTTATAGCCTGACTAAACCTTGTTTCTAAACCAGGGGTGCTTTGTTTCTAAATAGGCTAATGGAAAACTGAAGTGCTGAATACCTTTATTCAAGAACTTTGCTTTGAAGTACGTTGCATCTGGAACATTAAAATAAACATGTAAAACTTAGGCTTGAAGAGCAGTTGTCTTTAAACACACTAAAATACATTTAACTGTGTTAGAAGAATGGCTTCTTCCAGTTCTTTGTCTAATTAGTAATCTTGTATTCTAGAGTTCGAGCACAATGTGACTGTTGTTTCTTGTACTGGCATCGAGCAGTCTTTCCAATCTATTTAGACGATGTGTATGAGAACGCAGTTGATTCTGCTAGACTGCATGTAAGTAATAATGTTAGTAGTGGGAGGGATTCACGGGAGGAAAGGGAAAAGCTTAGTCTGAAAATCTTAGGGGAAAAAAATAGAGCCCCCAAAAAATCCCAGATGAGTAACTTCTGATGCAGAAATTTCTTCCTCAGTCTGGAGGATATAAAAACAATTTTTGCCCTATGTCTAAAGGAAGTATTTCTGTTAGACTGCTGTAAAAATCTCTCTTACTGTCTGCCTCCTTGTTCATCTGTTCTTTGTTCATTTTAATCTGAAATTAACACTTTTTTTTGCGAGACTTGAACATTTTAAGTCCTTGTTTGCAGTTGTGGTTAAGTATTTCTAAAGCATTTAACACCATGTTCAGTGATGTTGGATGGGATAGTTGTCCTGTAGCTTCTTTCACCCAACATCTCTCCTTCCCTATTTGCAAGGGAACTAAATTTCTGTAGCAGTGAATCATGCTTTATCATACTAATCCTGATAAAATCAATTATCTGATCCAGTATGGTGCATGCTGTGGTCAATTACACTATGATTATAGTACAGATCATTTAAGATGAAATGGCTAATAATTATGGCCTTCCAGTGAACGGATCGGCAGCAGCTAAGTACTTCAGAGAAGCATGTTAAGTCCAGGGAGCTTTAGTAGTACGTGAAGTCTGGTTTTGATGAAAGTGAAAGACTAATGATTTTAAATTGTCTGTTAGCTTTGAACACAAACTATCTGAGATGTTGATATGTCTGTCAATCTGTTGGTTAAGCATAAAAGCTTTTTAATTTTTATTTCAGTATATGTTTAGTGCACTGAGGGACTGTGTACCTGCTATGATGCATGCAAGGCACTTGGAATCTTATGAGGTGCTTCTGGAATGCTATGATAAAGAAATCATGGAAGTGCTCAATGAGGTAATTTATTTCAAATGGAAAAGAAGGGCAATGCTATGGAGAATGTTTTAGGCCAGTGTCTACTGTAGCAGACATGACGTGATGTATAAAAATAGCTTAGCAATAGCTTAGGTGGTGTGAACTATTGAAATTATTAAGAAAATTATCACTTACTGTCTTGAATATTTAGGACGTTATTAATGGTGTCTGTGTTGGTTAGGAACATAATACTGCAGACAGACTTGCATTTTGTCAAATCAGCTTTTGGTATGTATGCATGGTTTTTAGTAGCAGAGGCTCTGTAAATGTAGGTGTCTTCTATGGTGACTTACTAACTAGAATTATAAATAATGTTTGGCAGAGAGAAAAATGTGAATTCAGATTTCCCAAGTCTTTGGTTTTAACGTTTGAACAACAATTTGTTTGACTAGTTCAGAAACAAATATTGCATATTCTGTGGCAAGTTGCTGAATGAGGTCTTATTATCTAGGCAGATAGCCCTAAATCATTCTTCTTGAGATGAGAAGAAAGCTCTGAGAACGTATTTGAAAAGAGATGTTAATTCTATTAACAGAGCTCTGCAGTTAGGCACTGAATATGATTTTATTTTTAATCTCTCTAAATAGCACTTGCTGGACAAATTATGTAAAGAGATAGAAAAGGACCTGCGCTTGTCGGTTCATACGCACCTAAAACTGGATGACAGAAATCCCTTCAGAGTTGGTATGAAGGATCTAGCTCACTTCTTCTTTCTCAACCCGATACGTTTTTTCAATCGATTCATTGACATAAAAGGTGAGTAGTTATACGCTTTCTTTATCCCATTACTTTCATCTCTTTTATACTTCGGAAAGAAGTAAAATGATATAGTAAAGCACACTTCCCTAACTAAACTGGAATGATTATTTTAGTTCATCCTTTTATGTGCTTACAGCTTATGTAACTCACTATTTGGACAAGACCTTCTACAACTTAACAACTGTGGCTTTACATGATTGGGCTACCTATAGTGAGATGAGAAACCTAGCAACTCAGCGCTATGGTTTAAGTATGACTGAAGCACATCTTCCCAGTCAGACTCTGGAACAGGTACAGTATCCACTGGATGAGTATTGCTTGTTCCATTACACTATCGGATTTGCTAACTGTTCAAAGAATTGAGACAATGGAAATGAAGCCCCTGAGAACAGAAAAAAGTTTGGGGAAAAAATGGCCTTTAATTTCTGGATAGCTTCTGAAACAGGATCTGTCTTTGGAGTTGCTTAACAATGCTGCCAGTTAAATTCATGTTGGTTAGTTAAATTCAAAGCTAAAGGTTATCATTTATTTTTAACATCATACTTAACTAAAATTAAGTCAGATGTACAAAGTCAGAACACTTTCTTAAAATTCCAATATCAACATTTTTGACAAATAATACATCTGCAATATGGCAATCGTTAAGCGTAGAAAGGTCTCTTCCCAGTTTTTATTGCTTGCTTCTCAGCAGGTTCTTGTTAGTGAAATGGTTTCACAAGGTGGCTATCAAGGACTTCAGGAGATCCCTGCTTAGCTTAATAGTAGCATGACTCAGAGAAACTTTAACTAAGGTTACGTACACAGTAAAGTTAGTTTCATCAAGTTAATGGTAAAGGTATTCACTGTTTATAGCATGAGTGTAAAAGAAATACAAATCATGTTTCTGAAGACTTTCCTTTGAGAACTTTAGTATCTTGGATGTTTTAGACTGTTAGCTTCATTATTTGGGTTAGCACACTGGTGAAAGCTCTTAGAGATACAGTCTCTTTTTCTAATGTTCATGATGGCTGTTCCTTCCAAAGTTGAAAGACAGCCTTGAACTAAGAACTCCAGCTACTTCTTGGTACAAAAGCACTGTGGATTATGGTTTCTGCTTCTGGGTTTGGCTTTCTAGCACTGTTGCGTTAAAGGGGTGTAGCTGATTAACCGTTACGGGCCCGGTTGGATTCAGAGTACTGAACCAGTCGGACATTCACCAAAACTGGGGGTCCGTTCGGACATTCACCAAAAACGTAATAACCGCCTGGGGGTCCGCTCAGACATTCACCAAAAACGTATTAACCACCTGGGGGTCCGTTCAGACATTCACCAACAATGCATTAACCGTCTGGGGGTCTGGTTAGATTCAGAACACTGAACTATCACGGATAACCACCCTCACCCTAGTTGCATTAATGAGAGCTATCACAATGCAATCAAGTATGGTTTATTACAGCAACAGATAATCAGGTTCTTTTGGATTGCCGGTGATAGTGACTATCTGCAAAAGCAAGCTAGTATGCATGAAATACACAGGTGTTACAGGTGTTCTAGGTGTGGGTTCTAGGTGTGGGTTCTAGGTGTGGGTTCTAGGTGTGGGTTCTAGGTGTGGGTTCTAGGTGTGGGTTCTAGGTGTGGGTTCTAGGTGTGGGTTCTAGGTGTGGGTTCTAGGTGTTACGGGTGTTACGGGTGTTACAGGTGTTATAGGTGCGCAGCCTAGAAATAAACGCGTTAAAAGGATCAAAGACTCTATAGAGATTTATAAGCAAATATTCAGATCTCACCCAAAGGCGTCCCAATGGGGGGGGAAGAGAGGCTCAGCCCGTCGACTGATCCCAGGAGTCAGGAGGTCCTAAGGATGTTGTATGTCCTTGGGATGGTATCTCCCCTGACGATGGTATCTTCCCTAACATCCCCTCTCTCTTGGGCCAATTTATATTATTTTCTATCTTTTAGGTGGAGCTTGAGTGGCTCTAGTCAAGCATATCTTAGTTATGATTGGTGTAAAGTTTTCCCGTTTCCGTTTAAAGTAATAGGCTCCGAGAAATTCAGAGCGCATGCTCAGTGAGGGGTGGTCGCACCTTGGAGGCGGGTAGCTTTTGGGATGGAGGTGTGTTTTGGTATTATAATGATATTATAATGAGCAAAAAGTACACTAGGGTACAGCATTTGTCAAAACATGACAGGTCTTTGGCTTAGGGTGGCAAAAAGTGCAGCTTTGTGCACAAGAACAATCGAGGCCCCACCTGATTACAGAGCCTAGCCGTGGTGTCTCCACTCCACTCTACGCTCCGTGGTGTTCCTTAGAGCTAGCACACCAAGTTTCCCCAGCGCGATAGCATCTAAGGTTGGGAGCCTAGGGAATGCTCAGATAATGCAGTTATGCCCTACCCTGAAAGCCTCTTCAATGCTGTACCTTTTCCTTAAAAGTGTGAATGTTAGTTTTATTTTCCTAGTTACTTCAGGCATTTACACCACAAGCACCAATCATGTTTGGCCATTACATTGTTGTAAAGACTTACATCATTTGACAACACTGGTTTCCTAGCATTTGTTCTGGTATAAGCTTCAAAACAAAAATGCACATGCATGCACATGTGCACCCTACCTCCCACAAAGTCCTGGTACAATTCTTGGAAATTAAACAGGATCCTCTCTATGCACAGTGATACTAAAGGGACTTATTCAAGGGATTATCAAGCAAAACAAATTTCAGACTGCCATTGTAAATAAAAAATTGTCTTCTAGACATATTGGGCAAAATGACATCAAAAAGTAGCTAGCTGCTTAAGTCTCGATAGAAATCTGTGTGTCTGCAGAAGCCTCAACAGTTGTCTTCTCAAATCTGAGGTTGGCTCAATTTCTCTTTTTTAAAATTGGGTTTGTGGAATAGACCTGTGGATTCCTTGCTTTCAAGGGAATTTGGAAGCAAAAACAGGCAGAAGCGCAAATTTAAAATGTGAGCTGAACTCACATTTAAATAAAAATTGTGGAGAGATACTTCATTTTGAAAAGGGAAAATGTTTGTTTCCTAAAATGTTTTGAAGTAACAGAAATACATAAATAGTATTTTCATGTCTTAGTGGTTAGACATGTCAGTGGTTCCTGAGAATTATTATGATAAAAATTCTCAATATAAAATGTTGTTTCAGGGTCTGGATGTTTTGGAAATCATGAGAAATATTCATGTGTTTGTGTCTCGCTACCTTTACAATCTGAATAATCAGGTAAGATATATTCTATACTTCTGTGGATTGGTTCTGGTCTGAAGGGAACTGCAGATTATACTTGTAAGATAGTAACCCAAGCTGAATATACACAGTGGCAAGCTGTTGAGTAGCTGCTGCTGCTCTAGAAGATTTTTGGGGATACTGTAGATATATCTTGGAAAATGTTCTGTGAGTATGTTTTGAGTACTGTGTACCAGAAGGATCAGTCAAACTCAAAAATTACAGTGAAGCTAGAAGAAGGCAGCAGGGATGTTTGGTTGCTATATAAGGATGTGTTAAGTAAATGATTTTTCAGTTTGAAAAAAGGATATCTTAGGATGGGTTATTGGAGTTGGGAAACAGTGAATGATATGGAGAATATGTACAGGGAATAACTGGTTTCTCTTGATGCAAGAATGAGGGCAACTTTGAAGCTCATTGCCGTGATATACAGTAGGGCCAAAAGTACAAACAGTGCTAGAAGAAATTAGACTAATCATTGGAGGATAGCCTCAATAAATATGAGGGTTCAGGTGAAGCATCTGCCTTGGAATTGTTGAACCATAGCATTCCAGAAACCGATGGAGCATACCAGATGAAGTTCATTGTATGCATGCTTTCCTTTCTTTTTTTCTTTCCCTTATCACCACCTGTTAGCTTGTTCTCAGAAACGGGGTGTGGGCTACCTAGACAGGTAATTTATCACAGGGTTAATTTAGGGTAAATAATGTTTTTCCCCTCCACCTATTCCAGATCTTCATTGAAAGAACTAGTAATAACAAACACTTGAACACTATTAATATCCGACACATTGCTAATTCAATTAGAACTCATGGAACAGGAATCATGAACACAACAGTGAGTATATTTTGCATATTTGTTGGATTATTTTTTTCCTCAATTCCTCTTCTCAATAGCGCACAAAAGTGTACTGCTTAAGTGCACGAGTGATGATCCAAGCTCCTGTATTTCCCAGTGGCTTATTTGATTGTGCAGTTCTAGTAATGTGAAAATAATGGTTTTTGAGTATTAAAAAAGCAAATCAGTTCTTGGACAATACAAATTCCTATTGTAAAATCTCTTGGGAGTTCTGTCACTTCTGGTTGCTACATAGAAGTTGATGAAGGGATCTGTAAACACATCTAATAAGATACAGATGTTCTGGTAGGACTGTGACCTTCAATAAACATGAAAATAAACTAATAAACTAACAGAGTATTCTGATTCCTAAGTTGCTGCTTATTGATACTTAATAGGCAGATACTCTTACTGTACTTAAAGCAAATCTAGCAGACGTGAAATGTTAATTTTAAGTTGATCTTATAATCATTAAGCTTAAACATCAGCTTTTGAGTGTTTGAAGTAAAGCTGCATATCTATGACAATTTGCTGAATATCTGTAGTGAAGATGGTCACTTTAACTGGTAGAAGGCATTCACCTCTTTGCACGTTAAATGAGGGCACTTCCCACAGCTTGCTCACTACAGCAGGAGTTTATCATTGTGGTCCTCAGATTTGGATACAGTGCCAACATTCAGTTTAGTTTCTTTTCAGGTTGGTAATTTCAAGTCTTCTGCTCAACTTCTTTCTACCTCTTTGCTGCTTTGTTTTTCTCTCTTCTGGCTCCATTTAAAAATAAAAGGGGCGGAGGACTTGCTGAATATTTAACTCACTCACAAGTAATTTTAAGTGGAAGTAATAGAATCATAAAATAGTTTGTGTTAGAAGGTACCATCAAAAATAATTTAATCCAGTGCCCTTGTCATGGATGTGGACATCTTTCACTAGATCAGGCTGCTCAAAGCCCCATCCAGCCTGGCCTAGAACAGTTCCAGAGATGGGATATCCACAATTTCTCTGGATTACCTGTTTCAGTGTCTCACCACCCTCACAGTTTTAAAAATAAATAAATAATTTCTGATATCTAAACTAAATCTACCCTCTTTCAATTTAAAACCACTCTGATTAAAAAAAAAAAGTCTTTCTCCATCTTTCTTAAAAGCTCTCTTTATATGTTGAAAGGTCACAATAATGTCTTCGCAGAGCCTTTTCCTTTCAGGCTGAGGGAGCTGTGCACTTCCTTCTTATGTTTTAGTTTGACCTTACTCAGCTATGCTGGTCTCTGGCGTATCTTGCCTGACGGGAATTACACACGGGAATCAAGAGCTCTTGTGCTCTAAGAAAAATGTCTTTAAACATCTGCCAGCTCTATTCTGCTCCTCTGTCCCTGAGGGCAGTTTCCCAGTGGATCCCATCCGCTAATTCCTTGAACTGAAAGTTTGTATTCCTAAAATTCAGGGTCTTGACTTTACTCTTTGCCTGGCCTGTATCCCTCTGGATCCTAAATTCCACCAGGGCATGATCACTGCATGCCCAGGCTGTGCCAGATCTTGACCTTTCTAATTAGCTCATTTGTGTTGATAAGCAGTGGGTCAAGAGATGCTTTTCTTCTGGTTGGGCTATCTTATCACCTGGATTAAGAAACTATCCTGGACGTGTTCCAGGAGTCTCAGGGACTGCTTATAGCTTGCTGTGCTGCTTTTTCAGCAGTTGTCAAGATGATTTTAGTCCTCTAAAAGGATCAGAGCCTGCGAGTATGGTGCTTGCTGTAGTCAAAGAAAGAAAGCTTCATCAGCATCATCCCCTTGACTGGGTGGCCTGTAATGAATGCCGCCCGTGAGGTTTCCTTGGACTTGGCCTCTAATTCTCACCTACAAGTTCTATACCTTTTCATCACTGTTTCTCAGACAGCTCTCTGCAATCTTTTTTTTTTTTTTGTTCGTTTGATTTTTGTTACATAGAAGACAATCCCCCTGCCTCTCCTCCCTTGCCTGTCCCTTCTGAACAGTTTATAGCCATGGACTGCAGTGCTTCAATTGTATGATTTGTCCTGCAAAGTTTCAGTGATAACAATTAGATCACAGCTTTTTAACTGCTCTGACTTCCAACTCCCCTCATTTGTTACCCACGCAGTGTACATTGATACAGATGCACTTCAGTCAGGCTGTTTACCACATTGCCTTTTTAGAGGAACAAGCCTTAATTCCTCTTCCATTTCACATGTGTTTCCCTGTTTGTTCCTAATACATCAGCAGCCTCTGGATCTTCTCTGTTACACAAAACTCCACCTCCTTCTCCTCCTAAGCTTAGTTTAAAGTTCTCTTAGAAGTTGGGCCAGCTTGTTGGCAAGAGAGCTCTTGCTCCTTGTGGACAGGTGAATCCCATCAGCTCCCAGCAGACATGGTTTCTCAAAGGTAGATCCACGGTCATTGAAGCCAAATCCTTTAGCATGGCACCAGCTACACAAGTGATGAGGAGCATAAGGTTTTCATGCTTCCTTGCACTTTGAGGAATAACTTTCCTTGCACTGTTCTTCTGGGAATGATTTTGTTAGTGGAATAGTTAATCATGGGGGTTTTGGTTACTCAGAAAGTTGTCTTATTACTTGCTTTATTTCCAAGTGGTGTGGATTTTGCTGCTTTATTTACGTATGATCATCATTAAAGCTTTTTATGCAAAGAGGAGAAATAAATGAGATACATAGGGTGGAAGTGTACTTGCATCTTATGGGAGAGGATTTCAGAAAATTTTGAGAAAGTGAAAAGGTATGTTGGGACAGTATGCAGATTCCATTACTTGAAGAATGAGGAAGTTGAGCATGTCTGATGCCCTTTTCAACTTAAAATACTTGTATTGTTTCAAAAAGATGGTTACAGGATATTCCAGACAGAAAATAATGGCCGTTTGGGGCAGGTCATAGAATTGAAATAGCTAATCTGTTCCTTGATCCCTGTGCCCTTCCTGGAAGACAGTAGGTCTTCCTGGAGAAGGTTTTTTCTTTATTCTTTAAAGCAGTGAAATAGATAAGTTCAGAATAACAAAATGAGATAAACTGAGAAATAGATTCCTTTTTTCAAAGTTACATTGCTATAAATACAAGTTGTTTTGGAAGCTACAGAGCAGGGGTCGCTAGAGGTGTGTGTTACTCTGCCAACTTTCTTGATTTGACTTTTTTTTTTTTTTTTTTCCCTAGGTCAACTTCACTTACCAGTTTTTGAGGAAAAAATTTTATATTTTTAGCCAGTTCATGTATGATGAACATATCAAATCCAGACTTATCAAGGACATCAGATTCTTCAGGGAAGTCAAGGATCAAAATGATCACAAGGTATAGTAATTTTTGAAGGATTGAGAGTAACCTGGCTGAAAGAAGCACTTCTTTCACATGACTAAAGATGGACTAAACTCTGCATAACACGTAACAACTTTTCTATTATTTAAACATATAATTCCAGGCAAAATGAAAGCTTTTGTCCTAGCACAATAGAATGCTTTGAATTTCCATACCCAGGGTGGTTTGGCTTCATTCTGTTTCCTCCATGAATATTTTCTTTGATGTTATGGAGTTGATTAAAATTATTCTGTAAGCGACCTGAAAACATTAATTTGCTGCACTTGTGGTTGATTAGAGGCTCTAAGCTTTATGTTCTAATCATGCTAAACAGTTGCTATCAGTTTTGAATAATAAAATTATTCAGGTAGAATCCAAAATGATATGGACATATGACATTTATTCAAGTAAGTCAAATTTTGAGGACTAGGGTCTGACTTCCTATGCTGGAAAACTGATTTCTCAAAAATGTGACATGCAATGTATTTCAGTAAAATATGCTGTCAGCTTCTTCACATGTCAAGTGTTTTTGTTTTTTTTTCTTATAGGAATACATTCTTGTTCACAGTAGCATTTCTATTTCATTTTTCATCTCGCAGAAGTGACTTGTCAAATGATTTTTACAAACTAATAGAAACAGGCAGATGTATAATTAAAAAAAAAAAAAGCTGAAGCTGTCACTGTGAGGTAGGGATGCACTGCAAATAGAATAGTATTGACATGATATAAAAATAGAATTTGTTAAGGTTTGGCAGGGTTTTTTTTACAAATTACTATAATTTTTTTTTTTTGTAGTATCCATTTGAAAGAGCAGATAAATTCAACAGAGGCATCAGAAAACTTGGAATAACCCCAGATGGCCAGAGCTACCTTGACCAGTTCAGACAACTCATAAGTCAAATCGGTATGAAACACTATCTAAGTCAATCTTATAAATGTTAGTCAATGGAAGAAGTCTTCATAGTATTGTAACCGAACTCTTAGCACAGGCTAAAACTAGTCAGATGGAAAGTGCTTCACTTGTACCCAGGGAAAATAAATACTGTTATCTAATGGCACAGAAATGGGCCTTGCATGTCATAATCTAAAATGTATCCACATCTTGCATAGAACCCAGTTTCCTTTTAGGTTCTCCTTTTCTTTATGGAAGTGACTTTTATCCAGATTGCGTATATTTCCTGGTAAAAGACTCTTGACATTTTTCAGAAAAAGGCAATTGATACTGCAGATGTGTAGGACTGATCTGAACTTATATGTACTTAACGTGCCTGGAGGAAAGATTTGGTACTATTTGGCCCTTAGGCTATCATGCAAGTGAGCTCAATGTTGCTAGATGATGATTCTGTATTTTACTCATCTAGACAGATGAGTAATCATCTTTTGACATCAGTTTTCAATGTAATGTCTTATCTTTTTTTGTTTTAACTCTGCAAAGAAACTGCTTTAAAAGCTGAAATACCATTTGGAAACTTTAATTCACATTTCAGAGCTTGTAGGAATGCTGAAGTGTGTGTATACATGTGTATATATATTTAAATATTTATAAATTCCTTCTGTTTTTTTCTTGTTTTTAAAGGCAATGCTATGGGTTATGTCCGAATGATAAGATCTGGTGGACTTCACTGCTGTAGTAGTGCGATTAGGTACTTCCACAAATACCTGATTTTTCTGTTTTTTCTTGTTCATTCCTTTGCTCTCTATTTGTGGTGATGTTCCCTTGAAAAGGTTCTCACCCACCTGCCGTAAATTTATTATTTGATTAAATATATAAGAAATCCATTTTCATTCCTTCCTTCAAGTAGAATTATCAAAAATACTGCCTGGATTCAGGCAGTATTTTTGATAATTCTAATTAAGAAATTCCTGATGTTAGTCACTTCAAGAAAGTGCATTAAAAGAAAAATGGGACTGATCCTGAAGAACTTAAAATTGAAATTAACACTTCCTTGATACAATCATCAATCTATGTGTAAAGAAGTATATAAGGTCATTAAAATCTAGTGATTTTATGTATCAACAAATAGTTGTTTTTCTTGCAAATGTTAATAAATTTATAGTTATCAAGGACAAGTGTTAGAGAAAGGAGATGGTAGGCTGGTAAAAGAAGTATAAATAATTTTGTGTGTATTTAGAAGTGGATTTAACAGGACTCAGATGAGAATAGAATGGCAGATAAGATAAAACTTAAACAAGTAGTTTGAGCCCAGAAGGCTAAATTAAATATACTATAAATTATGTTAGCTACTTCAGTGAACGTAACCAGGTGAAGATAATCCTAACAAACAGTAAGTTTTCAGGTTTGTTCCTGATCTGGAAGACATTGTTAATTTTGAAGAGCTGGTGAAAGAAGAAGGACTCTCAGAAGAAACACAGAAAGCAGCAAGGTACCCTAATATCCTGCTTTGAGGTCTGGGGCAGGGTTGGGATGAGAGAGTTAGAATTCTAAAGCTGTAAATGCAACTGTTGGCTGCTTGTGTGTGTGCACGTGTTAAGTTAAACTAATTTTATGCAAAAATGTGTTAAAAGCAGAGAAAATACAAGCAGTTTTAAAAATGAATATAAAGTGTCATTTGTACTAAGAGACGTGTTACAGAATCTGGCTTCTTGATGATGTATTTGTGATTTAAAGGCTAACAAGTGTTTCTCACCACATGTCTGACATCTTTGTTTTTTTAATATTCAGGGCTTTGGGGGGGGTGGGAAGCAAAAACAAGTATTCTATAGAACACTTTTGAGGAAAATAAATCAGACTATATCATTGAAAGTAGTTGTAGAGGCCAAGTGTCATCTTGGACTGTCTGGTCAGAATACTGGGTTGTAGGTGTAGCCAAAGGGTGAAGAGAGCATTTTTACTTGGAGAGACGAGTAAGTAAACAAACTTGTAGCAGAAAACAGGTAACTCATTGCTCATCCTTTGCAGGCAGTTGGACTCTGTCCTCAGTGACCTCACACGTAACTTTGCAGAAGGAACGGAATACTTTAAAATGCTTGTGGATGTCTTTGCTCCTGAATTCCGCAGCCCAAAGAATATGCACTTGCGGAACTTCTATATAATTGTTCCCCCACTGGTTAGTATTTTCATTGTTTGTACCAATACTTAACAAAAAGAAGTCTAAGTCTCTGTTTCCATATTTTGTTTATGACTACTGATTAACATGTCTTGCTTTTTTCCCTGATTATGAGTAGAACTGTTTTGCTGGTAGTTGTCCAAAGCCTTGTTTTTCTTTTCAGTTCCATCTGAAGGCCTAAATGGTCTAAACAGATTAATTGCATGGTAGGTATAACATCCCATTTGCTGTGGTTTAACCCTGGCAGACAGCTCAGCACCACACAGCTGCTCCTTCACTTCCCCCACAGTGGGAGTGGGGAGAGAATTGCAAAGGTAAAATTGCGAGAACTCTTGGGTAGAGCATAAGACAGTTCAATAGGTAAAGCAAAAGCTGTGCACACAAGCAAAACCAAACAAGGAATCCACTTGCTACTTCCCATCAGCAGGCAGGTGTGTCCTTACAGGAAAGCAGGGCTCATCATGTGTAACAGTTTCTTGGGAAGACAAACACCGTCACTCCAAATGTGTCCCTCTCCTCCTCCTTTCCCCTCAGCTTCTGTTGCTGAGCATGATGCCATGTGTTATGGACCATAACATTCCATGTGTTTGGGCATTTGGGGTCAGCTGTTTTGGCTCTGGCACTTCCCAGCTTCTCGTGCACACCCAGGGCAGCATCAGAAGTTGAAAAGTCATTCACTCTGTGCGGGCACTGCTCTGCGACAGTGAAAACAGCAGTGTGTTATCAACATGATTTCCATTCTAAATTGAAACCACCACCCTATATCAGCTACTATGAAGAAAATTAACTGTCCTAGCCAAAACCAAAACACCATTTTAGAAACTAATTTTAGAATGTCAGATAAATATTTGCCACGAATTTGTTAAAACTGAGAAGATGAGTATGTCATAGTGGTAGAAGTGAAGGACAGTAAAAGGCTAAGGCAAACACTTTGTTCTTTTTGATTCCAATTTGTGTTTTTTTTTCTGAGGAACAGTTTCAAGAAAATGCCATCATTTGATGAAAATGAAACACATTTCAGTGTAGTTAAATTGAAAGTGTTTCGTAGGATTTTAAGAAATTGTTAATGTACTCAGGTTTACATGTCTCAGAGTAGCTACTGCATACAGACACATACCCATTGCTTAATACTACTGCCTGGATCTGTTGTTCAGCATCATTGCAAGTGTAAGACTGTCTTTTTATAAATTTCTAAATAAAGTGATATCCTACTGTTTTAAAGCAACAGTGTGTTATCTTTAAGCTTTCCAGGAATGCTGGTTATTCTAATTATCCTTTATTTATGTACATGTTTATCTTTAATCAACAATAGACTGCTAAGTAATAGTCTGACAAGAACAGCAGATGTACCTTATGTTTTCACTTATGCAAATGTTTTCCAAAACTTAACTTTCTTCCCCAAAATTCTAGAAAAAGGAACAAATTTTTCTAAAAAAAAAAAATTCTTCATGATTGGAGACACAATTAGCATAGATAGTGGCATAGAACTATATTTCTATCTAACAGCATGTCAGTATGTGAATCTTTTTCTTTTTTTTTTATGCTGATGACTCCAAGACATTTTTTTCACTCTTTCAGACCCTCAATTTTGTAGAGCATTCAATCAGTTGTAAGGAGAAGTTGAATAAGAAGAATAAAAGTGGAGCAGCTTTCACTGATGATGGCTTTGCCATGGGTAAGTTTCAGCTTGCTGACTAGCATTTAGGTAAGCCAACATAATGGATATTTGGAAGAACAGTTTGTCTTCTATGTGTGTTCCCATAATATAAATTTGGATTGTCTTGGCTCTAGTACAGTGGACTTGGGGGCAATTTTGTTCAGAATCTCTTAAGCATGGAGTAATTGGTTATGGCAGCAGCCAGTTTTGTCATATGTCAGTACTCCCTGGTTTCTTTCAAAGCCTGCAGGTCTCAGCAGATCAGAATTCATGCAAGTCTTTGGATAAGCTGTGAGGCTTGTAAAAATTGAAGCTTGTTCTTTATTATGATTCTTTTTCCTGTTGGATTTAATTGTAAATAAATTGCAATTTAAATTCTAATTGCATGGAAATTATCAGTTTAAACTGATCCATTAATAACATTCACAAAATGTTTTATAAATTGCATGTTGACTTGGCACATGGTTTGTTAATTACTATAGGTGTGGCTTACATTCTGAAGCTTTTGGATCAGTACCAGGAGTTTGATTCCCTGCACTGGTTCCAGTCTGTTAGAGAGAAGTATGTGAAGGAAATAAGAGCAGTAGCTAAGCAACAGAATGTGCAGTCCAGTAATCAAGATGAAAAACTACTACAAACTATGAACCTTACTCACAAGCGACTGGAAGTTTGCTTACAGGTATAGCATGGGTCTAGTTCTGTTATGTGTTGAGTTCAGCACAGTTCAGGGAGCTTGTTTCTAAAGGAGCTCATCAAGAACAAACAACATAAAGCATTGCCTAGAGCAACAGTGTTAAAAAACAAAACAATAAAGACTTGAGGTGTACTATCTGAAGGGATGTCATAAGCATTTGTGATATTTGTGTGAGTCAGGAATTTGAGTTGTTTGATTAGAAGGCTTTGTCCACTGGACAAAAATTGAATGCAACTGAAACCTAAATGTTTAAATCAGAGCGAATAACTTTTTTGTAAAATCTTAGTTATAGGAAATTTAACATAATGCTGTGAACCCTCAGTTGCTTGGGTGTTAATTCTCTGAATTACTGAGTTGAATGATGCATACCAGCTGTCAAACAGAAGAAAGATACACTTGAATTTTCAAGTGTAGTAGTTCAGGTTCTATCTGAGATATAAAAACCTGTCTCTCTCATTTTGCTTTTCATTTGAAGGGGTTATGGGACAAATCTGCAGATGTTTGTTTATAAATAGTTGGTGATTACATTCTGTAAAAGCACAGCTGTTGCTAGAATAGAGAAGCCCTGCATGACTGACACAAGCATGTATATCACTGAACCTTGTTTAGAAACTGATCTACCTTGCAGTCATCTAAATTATTGGTTGCATAGTTTTCCATGTGCAAGTTGTTTCAAATTCTCACTGTGGCTACAAACCTCACATCCAGCCCCAGTGGATTAGTCACAGATTTATTGCATCGATGCTGCTTTGCTTAAATTACTCTTTAAGGATTCTGGCTGACTTATGCTTTTTGTAAAATGCATGTGGAAAGGGTATGAATGGAGGAAGATTGTCAACAGAACATAAGTGATGTTGATAGTGAAATCTAGTTGCCTTTGGTGCTTCTGAAGAATATTAATCTGTCTACAAAGTTTTTCTTGTGATGCACTGACACTTTTCTTCTGTATCTTTTTACTTAGGAATTTGAACTCCTTTATTTTTCATTAAGTAGTGCAAGAATTTTTTTCAGAGCAGATAAAACTGCAGCAGAAGAAAACCAGGAAAAGAAAGAAAAAGAAGGTGAGTGAATACTACGTGTAGACCACTTAGGTTCCCAAGAGTTTGTCTTAGTAGGGAAAATGTTCTTTTCTTTTTTTTCCATAATTGTTTTCTTGCTATTGAGTTGAATCAGTATTCCTGAGATAATTTTGAGGTTCAGGATGATTAAGTAGTCAAAAACAGCTCAAGAGGCCTTCTTTGGAAAAGTTAAATTTCAAGCTGGGCTTCTGGAAACAAACAAGCAAAACCTGGGACAGGGAGAATGCATACTTGCAGTAATATTAAATTCAGTAACTTTAGCATCATATTTACCCTCTCCATTGCTAATGTTGTTAGCAGTTTTTTTGCACAACCTTTGATGTGAAATTGGTGTTTTTCAACTGCCGTTTAGTAGCTGCTTTTCAACTTGCATAGGCAGATACTGTAGATACTATATGTGACTTTCACACGTGTAATATTTATGATATGTTTTGGTCTACCATCGAATTACATTCAAAGGGCAGGATGTCAATTTGTGATATATACTCTCTTGACTTAGGTAACATGGGAATTTTGCATTTTACATTCATGCTTATATAGTCTCCCTCATTATTTATGGGAAATTCTCTTGGGTTTGGAAAAATTCTTAAAGAAATGTGAAAGCTCCCAAGGATTACAATGTAGAAGTAGATATTCAGATGTAGATGTTCAGTCACAAGTTGCTTAGAAACTCAGTTCTCTCAGGGCTGAATGTAGTCGTGTTTTAAACAATGGAAACTAATTTACCAATTCCATTTAGTTCTGACAAAAGATACAAATAATCATTGAGGTTACTGTTACTGATACAAAGATCACTTTTCTTCTGTACTAGGAAAACAGTTCATAAAGAAAAATCTTTTAGTATGAATTTATATTTGATGTTCAGTGGTGTTTCTCAAATAAATGTGCTATTCAAAAGCCAGCTATGAGCATTGTGGTGAGTAGGACTAGATATACTGTCCTGGCTTCTTTAGAAGAGCATTCTGTAGGATAGCAGTTACTTATAGTTCAAGTAAAATATTCACTGTCATGGTACATGTTCAGTTTTCTGAAAAATGAATTTTGTGGTGAGGAAAGCTATAAAGGCATACCAGGCTGGAAGATTTGAACATGGCTGTATCATTGCTTCCTACCACAATATTTAGACTTGCACTCTGCAAAATGTGTAAGCATGTATACGTAATCTTTACACAAGTAATCCTACTGATGAGAAGAAACCTTTCACCCCAAATAGAAATTTCTTCATAAGGCCAGGATCCTTTGTTCCACAAGGTCAGTTGATCCACAAGGTCAGTTAGCGTATGCTGACCGTGGAATAGTGTATCAATTGCTTTATGAGATCAACGTGATACATGTGCTAAGGCTGTTTTTACTGCCTTGAGTAAAATGTTAAACATAATCCATGTCTCCAATTGTTATTTTTATAGAAGAAGCTGTTAAAACAAGCAATGGAGATCTTTCCAACTCTACGCCTGCAGATCCTGTTGTGAAATGATATGGCTGGTATGGGTGATAGTTACTTACTCAGATAATTCATTTTCTTGTCAAAATTAGTAACACTCTATAGGGGTAAAAGCTCTGCATTTGACTTACTTGGTCTGTAAAACCCAATAGAAAATGTGTAATGGTATTACTAACATCCAATGAGGCTAGGTCTGTTTTTGTTCAGCTTTCCTTTTAAAAACTCATATTTTTCAGGAGCTACTTATCTACAGCACTTTCTCTAGATTGAAAATAACTACATAAAATATAGCTTGGAGGTAGTTATTTTGAATTACAATTGTATATACCAAAAAAAACCTTTACTAATTTTTAGATGCTTTCTTGCATCTCTAACATACTATTAAAAAAAAAAAAAAAGACTCATAGGCCATTGATCGAAGACTTGAACTTGTACATCTATCTGTTCAACAAGAAATAGAAAATTGAAGATACGGTGCAATATCTGTTGTCCAGATGCAGTCCTGTTGTATTTGCTTAATGCAGCCACAAATTACACTGTAGATGTAACAGTGTACGTTGTGAAGGTATGTTAAAGCTGTTGCACAATGTGGAAGTCCTTATTGTTTTATTCCACAAAACCTTATTATTAGTATGGGATTTGCACTCTGGGAGCTTAAGATCCTGCCAAGCACTTATTTTCCCCTAATCTTCCCCCCCTGTATCAGAGAAAGGGAAAACCAGAAGAGTTAAGATAACAAACTACTTTTCATTTCATGCTGAAGGTCTGATTTGCATCCACAGAAGTAAGGAAATCAAGAGCCAAGACAGAACCACAATCAGCTCTTCCTTTTATGACCAGACACTGTGTGATGAGTGTCTGTACCTATTAAGTGATCTTATACTTCATGAATATGTTGTGCCTAACTGCAAGTTTCAGCCTCAAATCTGTGTTTCTTAGCCTTTGTAGGTCTGTTGTATTGTCTGTGTTGTTAATACAGTCTTACATGCCTGGTTATTAACAATAATTGCACTGCAGGCTTCAGAAGCTGCTGAACACTGTGAGAACTCTGTATAAATTTTAACATCTGTTAATGCCTGCAAGTAGAGGTTTCTAGGTTGTGCAAGAGTTAACTCAGATACCTGACTTAAGTAAATAGCTAGACTTAGCTTAAAAGTAAACACCAGTTCCATTAAAAGATTCTCTTGTGTTTTAATCTCCCAGAACATAACAGACTTCTAGGTTTTACTAGCTAGAAGAAACTACTCTAGTCAGCCTGAGAATTACCTTTTGGTTTTTGGCATTCTTAACTGTATTTGAAGACTGTACTTGAAAGCTTCTTTCATCTCTTCTGATTCCACCCCACCCTCTCCCCTCAAAAAAGTAATGCTTTAATATAAATGGTTCAGATTGCTCCCCTCACCATTGTGTCACTAACTAAGACAATTCCTGGCAGACTTTTTGATTCATTCTTTCCTGCCAGTCAGTTCAGCATTTGGAAAACTAGGACAAATTTTTTGTTGCAACTGGAGAGAGACCAGACTGATGGAAGTCCTTTAATTCTTTCATTGGTTCTGAAAATATGACCCAGAAGCTTTGTGGACTGTTCAAATCAGCTGGGCTCATTAAAGATTTTGTTTGTTTCTTTTAACTGCAGAGACTGCCCTAAAAAATGCTGCATTACTTGATTTATTTTTGATAGTTTTTGTCATAATTTATGTATGCTTTCTTTTCTGACCAAATTGTGCCCGCACTGAACGCTCTCAGTAGTGTTGCTGAGAACAGCAGCAGCGGACTGGCTGTTCCTGCTGATTTCCATCCTGTTGCAATTGCAGTGTACCTACTGCCATACTCCTATCTCATCTGGGGGCATGGAAGTTCCTCACTTGGAGTGGTCAGGCACTATCTTGATTCTGCAACAGCAGCAGACTCACGCATAGTGTTTGTTTCCCCCCCAGGATGGATCTGCTAGGTAGATACATCCAGTCAGGGCATTACGTGTGCTCTAATGAAGTCTGCATTTGTATCTTTCCTTCTCCCACGTTTTTTGGAAAGACCATCTCAGCTAGGTGATACTCCACAGTTATTAATGTGCGTATGATGGTGAACAAATTCATGTGGTTCTGGTAATGGAAATTCTACAGAGAAGACATGAGCTTATTTTTATAGAGTCCTGTTTGAGGTTGGGACCTGAATGTATACTATATGTGGCAAAAATATATACAAACAAATATGTACAGTGATAATAGAGCTATTCTTGCTAACACAGGATTGTAGTTTGTTATATTTACACTTTTTGTCATGTAGCAGCACATGGATACTGAAAGCTTTTCTCATCTGAAATACAAAGTTGGGTCCTGGTTTTGGATGGCACTCCTCTGTCCCAAGTATCTGGCAGGGGTGCAGAACTCTTGATGTGGTGCTACTCTTTTCATTGCTTTTGCCCTCCTGCTCTGATTTTAGGAACAAAACGGGCTCCAACAGGTTGGCTGGAGATGATGATGGATCTAAAATATATATTTAAAAAAATAATCCTCCAAACTAAACTGAGCGTGTTGCTCACTCAAAATTCCCAGAGGTGATAAAGGGAAGTGAGGACGATGAGTTTTGCTGCAGGGACATAAAATGGATCTCTAGTTTTCTTTCTCCTTCAAGTCAGGGGCAGAACAGGCTGAAGGCCAGTCTACCTCCCTGAGAAGGCAGCTGCCACTGCTGCCCTCCTGTGCTTTGTCTTGTGATGAGGCTGTTCTAGGTGGAGGTGGTGGCAGCTGCTCCTCCAGAGGTCTTGAAACCTGCTTCTGATACGGTGCTGTGTCCTTTTATGCCAGAAGCCAGGGGGCTGCCTTTCCTTTCCTCCTTGTGATAGGAGAAGGGTAGGGGAAGCAGAGCGCAGCTGATGCCCTTGTTGCCTTTCAGTGCCTCCCTGGGAAGTGAAGTGCTGGTGTGTGTTCAGCTTTGCTTGAAGGGTAGGTTCCAGAGGTCCTAATTAGAAGTAAATTTGAGTTTCCACCTGATGTCCATCAACAACAGCTGTCTTCAGCTTCTCAGGTACAAAGGACCAAATGTAACAGTGTTTCCTAACTCATTGTACAAAAGGGTATTTTGTTACCTCAGTCTGGTTTGTGAGTAGAGTACCTTATGTACATACAACTGTTAATAAATGTAATTTTCAGAACCTCATTCTCAGTGTCTTCAGTAACAGCACTTCAGGAGGTTTTTTTTTTTTTTTTTTAATATGACAGCTTCAACTTTTATTTAAGAAGAAGTGTTTGTGTCAGTTACTAACAGTTGTCTTCCATGGTTCTTACAAACATTTAACAACCAACTAAATGAATTTATTCCACATCAAACACTTGCAAACTGTAACTTTTCAGATGCTGTAGCACATACTGTTTACAGAAAACCTAGTTTCCTATTAAGTGCTTCAGAAGAGTTAAAGTCAGTTGAAGAACATCAGCTATTTGTTCCAGTTACCTTATCTTGATTAATATAAACAATGCCACATATGGATGGCCTCCTGCCTCCCCCCCGTACTCCTATTTATTTTTGTTTGTTCTTGCAAAATGCAGCTTCTCATGTTTTCAGGTTAAACCAGAGGGGACAAAAAATCTAAACTTATTAGCCAAGATATACAGCATTTAATTTCAGGAATGTACTGTGAAACTAGTCAATGTCCTATAGACTGATAATCTAGCATTTTATTGCTTAGCTTCTTAAAATCGAAGATTGCTGGTAGATTCTCCACTGTTGTACATCACCACAATGTTAAAAATACAAAGACCTCTATAAAAAGTACTTACTTGTCTTACAAGTTGTCTCTGGCAACTTAACAAACCTAACCGTAGAAAAACTGCACGCCGCTAACATGCCCCGCTTGTTGACTACTTCTGATGTTTGCATGTCAGTGGTTTTTAGAAGAATAAATCGAGGAGGTACAGTATGTCCATTACTTAATTACAGAATGTGAGTGCGGTCCCCATAAAGGTAAGAGTAGGCACTTAAATTTGTTTTGTAAGCTTATTCCAGATGCAATATAAAAATAGATTATATTAATAGGAAAAATTTAGTGTTTAACAAATTGTTTTGTAAATAGACTAGCACAAAAGATAAATCTTGTTACACTTAAACTAGACTAAAATAACTTCATCTGAAAATAAAGTAAATAGTGCATTTTTAACCTTCATTCAGATGCACAGAATCATGCAAACTATAAAAACTGACTATGGTAGGAAGTTTGAGGCCTGATGTTTTCTTTAAAGGAGCTGACAATTTACAACTTGTACTAATTTCAGCAGAAATGAAGGCTTCTCACTGTTAACCTGCAGAAGTAACATTAACCCTTTGTGGCTGACAGTTCTGCTGTCCGAACTGCCAGCAGCAAAGGACTAATGCTGAAACATCTCCTAAGATTGTCAGCTTCCCTGCCCCCCCTCTACACTACACATTCACAAATGCAAAAATTCCCAAAGGCCAAGGTTCTGCTGTTGTTTCGCTGTAAAGCCAGAGGAGACTCCACTGCAAAGACACCACATTCTCTCTAGCACGATGACGGAAGCTGGCCTTGAGCGTGCACAGATGATTTAAAAACTGAGCTTCTTGCGAAGACTCCCTGCTTTTCCTGCTCCCAGATAGGAGGTAGGAAAGGTCCAAGAGTTTTTATGCTTCTGATTCTTCCCCTTCTTCGTGTGTGGTTCCATCCTCTTCTGCCTGATCATTCAGAAGCATGAACTTTCCATCATTTGTTAATGGCACAGACTTCATCAGCTGAGCTAATGCTTCTGGGTCCTGAAGAAAAATAAAAAAAAGAGGTAAACAGTATGTAAAAATTGGTCTTTTATTTTGAACTTTATATTGCTAAGAAAGACAAGGAGAAAACCTTTACTGTCTTGGTAAGTTGTCGTATTTATGCTTATCGACTATGACTAAAACCTCATTCCTACAATCTCATTCCTACAATTTGTTCTGAAATCATAGCATCAAAAATATATATAAAGATGTAATGCCAATGCATGTAAGTACTCCTACACAACACTGAAGTGGAAAGTCTTCATGAGATTCTTTTTTTCTCCTAGGGGAGCAATGAATGTGAATTTCTAGAAATGAAACAGTAATGGCTGCAATTTGTACTTCATCCAAACACGTTTTTTTTTTCACACTTTGTCAAACTAAGTTTGCAGTTATGAGCTACCCTAGAGCCTGTTTTTACATGCCTGCACAACTTTGTCATTATGAGTAGGGATGCTTTTTTCTTATGTACACGAGAGCTACATGGACAGTGTCACCAAAAGCAGAAAAGACAGACATTTATGGGGAGTCAAACAAACTTACCTTCTGTGCCTCAGTGATTTCTTTTCCCAAGCTGATGGCGTAACAAATCTAGAAAGAGAAATGTATGTAAAGATCAGGTTTTTTTTGTTTTGTTACAGGTTTTGCTGCTTAATCAGGACTAAAACACAGAAGCATCGATGCAAACTTAGTTTTAAATACAGGTGTAAAAGGAGAGGTAGAAAACCAATTCACTGTAATAACTACATAAAAATAAAGCAGTCTTATTTCAAAGCTCTCTTAGAGATGAACTAAAGTTTATCTTTGTACTCATTTTTTTTCAGTGTGTGAATTTTTATTCACTAAACTATTTCCAAACCTGGGAATTTCCCCCAGTACGCCTCAGAATGTTGTTTAAGAGAAAAATACTTCAACATCTTCCTTATTTAGAAGTCTCTTATTACGAGACACACAGCAAGTGCCACAGTGCTATTAACACAGTATGGCTGCCTTTTTGGTGAGAGCTTTCCAGCTGTATTTGTCTCAATATCACTGATAAATTCATTTTTTTTCAGTGTCACCTAGACGCAGACATGCTTTTCCATATCTCTTAATGTTTGTATTAGCAATCTCCCCCTTCTTATAGCCAATGCAGCAGCACATACAACCGATAGGGGCCTTTTTAGACATAGGCCAATTCATGTTTACCTACTAAGAAATCTGGTTACTCTCCCTTCTGTAGTACTGTTTCCCAGATGTTTAAGCCAAGAAGCTTAGGACTTGTTTTCTAAATAAAGTATGTTGATAAACGTTACACAAACCTTTTCTCCTTCTGTGTTGCTCTCAAAAACATACGCGCTCATGGAATCTTCTCCCGGAGTCTCACTGAGATGGACCACAAAGCCAATCAGTCTCCTGTTATCCTGATGAGCAGCAAACTGTGTCACAGTGGCAAGTTCAAACTGGAAAATAATAATAAAATTATTTTTTTAATCAGTATGTAGTTAGCTTGGTCCAGAGCTAAGATTCATGTGACTATGCAATGCTGTGGTAAAAAAAACAGATTCAAAACAAAGTTACTTACACTTATTCGTGTAACTTGAGTTTGAGGATCTATTAACCTGCAATTGTGTGTAGGGAGAAAAAGAAAGTAAATGCTTTTTAGAATGACTCGAGCAGTAATTTCAAGGTGCTTTATAATAGTAAGGCAACCACTGAATCAGTTTTACAGATAAGGAAACACATACACATAATCAAATGCTTTAGCCATGACTTCAAGTCAGTCAATGGCAAAATTCAACTCTAGACCCTGATTTTCTGCTGCTTTACCTCTTGGTCTCATCTTTCTGAATCACTAATTTGGTAAATATTCTGCCTGCATGAGCTAACACTGTATGTGTCTGTACTAAAATGCAACCCAGCTGAAGTGGACATCTTGTATAGCCATATTCTACAGCAACAATACTGACACCAGGACAGCGCAACGCCTCTCTCACTGTTATTGCATAGGAGGTAAGAGAATCTCTCAATGCATTTTTCTTTTTGCATCTTTTCCTGCATGGTTGTAGGGTCTTAGAGCCCCACCGCACCCTATTTAAATTTTAGTAGGATGTTCTTACAACAAGTCAGGAGGGTATTGCACTAAGTAAAGTGAATCTCAGGATCTTGGTCCCTGAAGGGCGCCTTCCTTGGAAAAGGAAAAATTACTAATCACAAGTTGCACAAAGAAAACATAATACTGATAAGAGAGAAGCCACAAAGATTTTACAGTACCTCAAGCTCTTGCTGGTGACCATGAGATGGGATTCAGTCATTCGGAAGATGTTATGAATGGCACGAGCAGCTAACACTTGTCTCATAGCTTCATAAATCACCTCACTCGTGTCATCTGACTGGACAGCCATAGATCCTAAAAACCGAACTACGAACATCTGCTGCAAGAGTGAATCTGGAAGATAAAAGGCATGACAATTTTCACTGTGCCACTCTGATTTGCCAGTAGCTGGAAAATACCCATGGAATTATTTTTTCCTTTAGGAAATTCAACAGTAAACTCGTGGGTGGTGACTGTGTGGGTGTTGGCTTCCTTCTATGAGCCAGGCGTTGCTCTGACCCAGTTTTAAACTGCCTGAACTGGCAGCAAGCAGAAAAAAACAATCACAGCTGCTCAAAAACTTTAAAAACTGTAACTGGTCCTTTATGAATTGTTTGATTAGCCAGTGAAATTCACTTTGCTTGTCTTACTATCAGGTGGAGGGACCACAACACACAAACTGATAAATTGATGGTTTTGCATGAGCCTTAGCTGCTGACAAACTGATTATTTAAACTTGTATCCTCCTTGCTTTGATTTTCTGACCTTCTGACCCTACTGCAGGTGGTTCCAATGAGGTGTTCATTAAAGCCTTCCCTGCTTATTGACTATCACAGTAATTCTCTTATTTAGAATTACGTAGCCTATTTACAATTTTGTAGTCATTATGTGAAAAAGCTGTCATTTGATCTATCTCCCTTTATGGTTAGTGGTGAGCAAGGTAAAGCAGGATAAGCTCTGCTGAAATGTGACTGCTCAAGAGCTACAAGAGCTGTGTCTATGTTGATGTTTGTCTTCATAGGCAGTGTTATTTAAAAGACAGGCTTCTGAACGTAACTAGCTTCAACTGTGCTACAGGTTGTTTCTGCTGCTCTCTGATGTCAGGTCTTTCCCTAAGAGACACTGGATAGGCTGACAGCTCAATTATGCCTAACATCATGACTAATTTTATCTGGAAAAATGCAGCACTGACCTTCTTCCTCATTTTTGCTACTGTCTTCGGATTCCCCAAATGGGTTTGCACGCCTGTGAAATAAGAATAAAAACTGGTCACCACATACAAGTGCTGTAATACCTAATATTCTCCTCTGAAATCA